TTGGTCAAAACGCCTGCTAGCTTAACCCATAATGTAAGCTATTGGTTAATTTTAAAACACATCCCTTGACCAGCTTGCAGCTATCGTACAGCAAGACGAGCCCATTATGAGCCAAATCTTTTAATGCCAGCCAGTCTTGGAGACCCATAACTATTTGTTGACGAGACCCATGCTTCTTTAAGAGGCGTCATATCACGTGTACCAGGATTACCGTTTTGGTACCATTAAAGACTTTATCGGTTGCTGAAATGTTAATGTAACCTTGGGTTCGACTTGAACTTTCGTCAAAATGAAGAATAAACTGAAACCTTGATAAATAAAAATTACTCAGGTAACTGTTGCAGAGTGCACGCTGAAACTCAATTGATCAATAAAATCCTTCTGTAGTATGTAGCGTTAATTTTGTTCGTCAGATACCAATATTTGCGAGGATCTAGGAATCATAGAGGCTACAAAAGGGCTTATAGAAAGCCGATAAGCGAACTAGCACAATTTTTTAACGAATTTAAACATGCGAGCGTCTGGACCTTGATCAGGCAATAATAAAATTATAGATTAGCAGAAACAAAACACAAACTTTTGTCGGGACTGCTTAAAGCTATAAAAAAATTCTTGGGATCGGTTTGCAACATTGGGCGGCTCACATATACCATTTTTTAACTTAGCCTGTGTCCAGCCACAAGCGACAAAATGAATTATGTTTGGTTATGCAAACCTGTACTTAAACCAGTGGTTTAATGGCCTCCCTTTGTCTGCTTACTTTATCGTTTGGATATGTAAATTTCTCGATATACACAATGTGTGTTCGACGTTTAGGAGGAGTCTGTTTCGGCTTCATTTCACCACTCAGCACAAGCCTCATTGTAAAGATTTAAATGATCTTCTGTTTTGAGCGTATTAAGATCGACTTGATTCGTTGTAATTAACAACTACTACCAACAAGTCGTATTAAGTCATCGTAGACAGATCTGCCCAGACCTCAGCATATATGGCGGAATGTTCATTGTTGTCGCTATTATTGCATGCAAAAAGAATCAAAAGGTAAATTCCTCAGTTGTTGGCAAAGTGCAAGGTAAAAATATTTAGGCTCTTAGTTCACTAACTTGTTCCTTTGTAAGCCTACTGTATTCTTCGACTACACGTTCCTTATCGCTATATCGCGCACTACTAATCGTATAGTCGCGCATGAGTAATCTACTTTAAACACAATAATCATCAGATATTCCCACATAAGTAATCCATACTACTGGTATTTCTCATGTAACGCATGAGTGATCTACTCTATACACATTGCTCATAATATACGCGCACTAGTAATCACCAGACTGTATCTTTCGTTTGTCGCTCGCTGGACGAGGCGCATCTTCAATAACACTCCCACTCGACTGGGCAGCGACTGGTGACTTGATCCCCAACCTGCTACGGAGATCTTCGAACTGCACCGCGCTTATTTAATTTGTCATCAAGTCGTCCTTCATGTCTTTTGTCGGGTAGTATTGCAGCACCACTCGACCGTCTTCAACTTTCTCTCGCACGAAGTTATAGCGAATGCCAACATGCTTGGTTCGCTTGTGGCACTCCGGGTTCTTAGCCAACGGTATAGATCCTTGATTGTATTTATGGATCTTGACGGCTTCGTTGAGTGATATCTCGCCAAGCTCACACAGTCGCCTTCAGCTAAATTGCCTCTTGAACAGCTTCGGTCAACGCCATGTATTCTGCTTTCGTTGAAGATAGTGCGTCTGTGCTCTGCTTTTTGCTTCTCCAGCTGATGCATCCTCCATTCATCATAAATGCATAGCCACTTGTGCTTCGTTAAATGTCCGTGTCGCCAGCACAGTCCGCGTCAGTATAGCCTTCAAGTCCTTTTGGTTCCTTGGCTTGAAATTTAATATCGAATGTCTTCGTCCCTTGTGCGTATTTGAAAACCCTCTCGAGTGCCTGCCAATGTGTTGGACACGGATCCGAAGCAAACGACTAAGAACTCCCACTGCGGCAGCAAGATTCGGTCGAGTACCAACCATGAGATACATAAGGCAATCGACAGCATTGCGGTACGGGATATGCGCCATGGTTATTTCATGGTTGCATCCTCCTTCGCACATGTTATTAATCAGCTTAAGTCCGGGATCTTGCGGTGTCTTGACAGGGTTGCTGTTCTCCATGCTGAATAATTCCAGTATATCTGCTAAAGACTTGGTTTGGCGAATGGATACATTCCTACTGATGGCATCTTGATCGACCTCCGTGCCCAAGAAGTATTTCATCCGACCGAGGTCCGTCATTTTGAATCGCTCGCATAGCTCTTTCTTTGTCGTTTGGAGCATTTTGTCGTTGTTGCGTGCGAGGACCAAGTCATCGACGTAAAGTGCCACATTAAAAATGTCTTCACCGTCCCACCTAACGTAGATGCAGTGATAGGTCTTGCACTTCTTAGACCCCATGTCGAGCATAAACTTGTCATGGTTTAATTTCACATGCAAGGGGAAGTTTTTATCCGTAGAGAGAGCGCTGGAGCTGACAGACGTAATACAGCTTGTATTCGTTGATGTGTCCGTCTGGCTGCGCCACATTGATGTCTTCGTCAGGAATTTTGTTGAGAAAAGCTGTGCTGACGTCCATTTGGTGCACCGTCAACTTGTAATGGGCCGACAAACTGAGCAGAATCTGGATTGAAGTGAACTTGGCCACCGGAGCAAAGGTTTCATTATTGTCGAAGCCATATTCTGCAGAAAACCCTTGGCCACAAGTCGCGCCTTAAATCGCTCGACTTCGCTATCTTGATTATCCTTGATCCTAAAGACCCATCGACATCCTATTGCCTTGCGATCCAGTGGAAGATGCACTAGTTACCAAGTCTTGTTCTTGCGCAATGATGCCTCTTCTTAGTCGCATGCATCCTTCCACTTGGCCGCGTTTCTTGATTCCATTGCCGACTTAAACGTAGTCGGTATATGTCCCACTAAATTAACGATGTATGCAGCTTCAAAGTCTTGAGCCGTCGCAGACATCGCATCAGGCGATCTGTGAAGACTCTGTTTATTGGTCCTGGAAATCGTCACTGCCTGTCCAAGCGACCGATTGGGTTGATGACGCTTGCTTCCAGGCTCAAAGTCGAAGTCGGGTGAAGCTTAAGGCTGTATATTCTTGAAGCTATCATACGTAAAATATTGATCGTGCGCAGCTTCATCAGTGTCTTGTTCGCTCGAATCATTTTCAGACGAAGGTGCTTCGATCAGTTCTTCTTCTTGAATGGCGACGGTGCCATTGTGCGTCACGTGATCGAAGACTTCCTCCATGAATCGCGCATCACGACTTTCCATCACGCGACCGTTCTCAGTGTGTTCGAATCAGTACGCTTTTTTCGTGCTCAGAATAGCCCAGAAATCGACAGCGCACCGAGCGAGCATCCAATTCTGAGCGTTTTTCCTTGGGCACTTGGACGAACGCGTGGAAACCGAGACTTTCAGGTACTCCAATAGGGGTTTCATACCAGTCCAAACTTGGTACGGTGACATATCATGTACGGCCGCACGCGTTGAACATTGGTAGCGGAGAAACGTCGCAGTCGTGATAGATTTCTTCCAATACGACTTCAACAAACCCGCGTGGTCCAGCGTGCAGCGACCACCTTCGACCAGTGTGCGGTTCATGATTTCGGCAACACCTTTTAGCTGAGGAGTGTACTGAGGCATAAACTTCTGTTTAATTCCGCGGTTCTGCACAGAACTTGGCCATCGAACCTGAAGTATATTCCCCGCCGTTATCCCACCGAAGCGTTTCCGCGCGCATGCTGGTCTGGTTTTCAGCCAGCGCAACAAATTAAGCAAATTTGTCGGCTACCTCTTACGTCCCCTTCAACAGGTAGGTAACACAGTAACGCGACCTCTCGTCAATGAAGGTGACAAAGTAGCGCTTGTTACTAAATGTCGCGGCTCACATCAGTCGCCAAAGGTCGCTGTGGATCACTATAATCACTTCCTTGGCACGATTTGGTGAACACTTCATGAAATTCCCTCGCGTTTGCTTGCCGAGCTGACATTCACCACACAGCTCCCACTTTCGTACTGATGTCAACTTAACCAGTGCCACAGCCTTTAGTGACGATGGTGGAAAGACCGCCAAAGCCAATGTGACCTAGCCAAAAGTGCCAGAGGTACGAAGTGGTGTCCCCACGACATTCCAACGAGCTAGTCACATTGGCTTCGTCTACTAAAATAGGCTTCATGCACAACTTGAGTAGTCCTTTGCCTTCACGCAAACCAAGCTTCCAACAAAGGCATATTACATTAGCGAAGCAACCATCCTGCTCTAACGTGACCGGGCCACAATATCTGGTAAAACGCCTTACAGAGAACAAATTGCGCGAAAGCTGGGAATGTGCCACATTGATGTAATTACTCCCTTCTAGACTTCTCGTGGCATCTTCATCGACATGATGATGTTGCCCATTCACACCGCTTGAACTACACCGTCGTCAGCAAGGTGCACATTCACAGGGTTGATCTTTTTGTAATTTCTTATGTATTATTTTGATTACGTCATGTGCTGCGTTGCACCCGACTCAACCAGCCACACACATCTTAATGTTGCAGAGCTTGCGAACCCTCCAGCCGAGAACGTTAATCGTTTTGAAATTTTTTTCCTCTGCGCAAGGTTGGCACACTGCGACTGCTGTCACTCTGCGTTCTCCCTGATCCAAGCTAGACACTAAACGATCCAATGTCCGTGCTCCCCACAGTAGTGACAGGAGCTGCTGGTCTTTGCTGGGCTTGTCGTCCAGTGCGCCGACCAGAGTCTTGGGTCAAAAACGCTTGACTGAGTCCTTTCACTGCTTCTTTAACTCCTTTCTCGTTGCGCTTGAGATCCTCATGCGGCAGCCGAAACGTGATGAGCTTTAACGACAGTGAGTCGGCTCTTGACTTTAACCCCGTGATAAGGAATCCGTACGACTAGCTGAGACTTGCGAGTAGAATAATCACTAGATCGTCTTCGCTGACCTAGGCGCCCACTGCGTCGATCTGCTCCGCCAGCGTCGATCTGCTCCGCCAGCGTCTTGATCTTGTTGATGTGTTCCATCACATCATCACCGTCTTCCATCCTGGTCGTAAAGAAACGACGACGAAGAAAGAGCTTGTTTGCCAGGCTATCCTTTTCGAAGTGTCCTTCCAGCCGTGACCATGCATCATGCGCTCCATTCGCTGAGCGGACCAACGGCAGCTGCGGATCCTCCATCGCGATACATATTAATGCCAGTGCCTAGCGGGACTTGCGCTTGAACGTCGCCTGGTCCAACTGCGAGACGCACTGCTCCACCTTCATTTCTACGCTCACCACTTCCCACTGGTCACGCTCCTCCAGTACCATCTGCATCTTGAATCTTTCACGTGTGGAAGTTAGTTCCGTCGAACTTGTTGAGCGGTTGGGAGCGAAGGCGTTCATGACGAGGGCGACGTCGGTGTCGAAGTCAGGAAAGACGGGGCTTGGGCTGATAACCTTTTGAAAAGTAAAGTGCTCAGTTGTTGGCAAAGTGCAAGGTAAAAATATTTAGGCTCTTAGTTCACAAACTTGTTGCTACTGTGAGCCTACTGTATTCTTCGACTACACGTTCCTTATCGCTATATCGCGCACTACTAATTGTATAGTCGCGCATGAGTAATCTACTCTAAACACAATAGTCATCAGATATTCCCACATAAGTAATCCATACTACTGGTATTTCTCATGTAACGCATGAGTGATCTACTCTATACACATTGCTCATAATATACGCGCACTAGTAATCACCAGACTGTATCTTTCGTTTGTCGCTCGCTGGACGAGGCGCATCTTCAATAACACTCCCACTCGACTGGGCAGCGACTGGTGACTTGATCCCCAACCTGCTACGGAGATCTTCGAACTGCACCGCGCTTATTTAATTTGTCATCAAGTCGTCCTTCATGTCTTTTGTCGGGTAGTATTGCAGCACCACTCGACCGTCTTCAACTTTCTCTCGCACGAAGTTATAGCGAATGCCAACATGCTTGGTTCGCTTGTGGCACTCCGGGTTCTTAGCCAACGGTATAGATCCTTGATTGTATTTATGGATCTTGACGGCTTCGTTGAGTGATATCTCGCCAAGCTCACACAGTCGCCTTCAGCTAAATTGCCTCTTGAACAGCTTCGGTCAACGCCATGTATTCTGCTTTCGTTGAAGATAGTGCGTCTGTGCTCTGCTTTTTGCTTCTCCAGCTGATGCATCCTCCATTCATCATAAATGCATAGCCACTTGTGCTTCGTTAAATGTCCGTGTCGCCAGCACAGTCCGCGTCAGTATAGCCTTCAAGTCCTTTTGGTTCCTTGGCTTGAAATTTAATATCGAATGTCTTCGTCCCTTGTGCGTATTTGAAAACCCTCTCGAGTGCCTGCCAATGTGTTGGACACGGATCCGAAGCAAACGACTAAGAACTCCCACTGCGGCAGCAAGATTCGGTCGAGTACCAACCATGAGATACATAAGGCAATCGACAGCATTGCGGTACGGGATATGCGCCATGGTTATTTCATGGTTGCATCCTCCTTCGCACATGTTATTAATCAGCTTAAGTCCGGGATCTTGCGGTGTCTTGACAGGGTTGCTGTTCTCCATGCTGAATAATTCCAGTATATCTGCTAAAGACTTGGTTTGGCGAATGGATACATTCCTACTGATGGCATCTTGATCGACCTCCGTGCCCAAGAAGTATTTCATCCGACCGAGGTCCGTCATTTTGAATCGCTCGCATAGCTCTTTCTTTGTCGTTTGGAGCATTTTGTCGTTGTTGCGTGCGAGGACCAAGTCATCGACGTAAAGTGCCACATTAAAAATGTCTTCACCGTCCCACCTAACGTAGATGCAGTGATAGGTCTTGCACTTCTTAGACCCCATGTCGAGCATAAACTTGTCATGGTTTAATTTCACATGCAAGGGGAAGTTTTTATCCGTAGAGAGAGCGCTGGAGCTGACAGACGTAATACAGCTTGTATTCGTTGATGTGTCCGTCTGGCTGCGCCACATTGATGTCTTCGTCAGGAATTTTGTTGAGAAAAGCTGTGCTGACGTCCATTTGGTGCACCGTCAACTTGTAATGGGCCGACAAACTGAGCAGAATCTGGATTGAAGTGAACTTGGCCACCGGAGCAAAGGTTTCATTATTGTCGAAGCCATATTCTGCAGAAAACCCTTGGCCACAAGTCGCGCCTTAAATCGCTCGACTTCGCTATCTTGATTATCCTTGATCCTAAAGACCCATCGACATCCTATTGCCTTGCGATCCAGTGGAAGATGCACTAGTTACCAAGTCTTGTTCTTGCGCAATGATGCCTCTTCTTAGTCGCATGCATCCTTCCACTTGGCCGCGTTTCTTGATTCCATTGCCGACTTAAACGTAGTCGGTATATGTCCCACTAAATTAACGATGTATGCAGCTTCAAAGTCTTGAGCCGTCGCAGACATCGCATCAGGCGATCTGTGAAGACTCTGTTTATTGGTCCTGGAAATCGTCACTGCCTGTCCAAGCGACCGATTGGGTTGATGACGCTTGCTTCCAGGCTCAAAGTCGAAGTCGGGTGAAGCTTAAGGCTGTATATTCTTGAAGCTATCATACGTAAAATATTGATCGTGCGCAGCTTCATCAGTGTCTTGTTCGCTCGAATCATTTTCAGACGAAGGTGCTTCGATCAGTTCTTCTTCTTGAATGGCGACGGTGCCATTGTGCGTCACGTGATCGAAGACTTCCTCCATGAATCGCGCATCACGACTTTCCATCACGCGACCGTTCTCAGTGTGTTCGAATCAGTACGCTTTTTCGTGCTCAGAATAGCCCAGAAATCGACAGCGCACCGAGCGAGCATCCAATTCTGAGCGTTTTTCCTTGGGCACTTGGACGAACGCGTGGAAACCGAGACTTTCAGGTACTCCAATAGGGGTTTCATACCAGTCCAAACTTGGTACGGTGACATATCATGTACGACCGCACGCGTTGAACATTGGTAGCGGAGAAACGTCGCAGTCGTGATAGATTTCTTCCAATACGACTTCAACAAACCCGCGTGGTCCAGCGTGCAGCGACCACCTTCGACCAGTGTGCGGTTCATGATTTCGGCAACACCTTTTAGCTGAGGAGTGTACCGAGGCATAAACTTCTGTTTAATTCCGCGGTTCTGCACAGAACTTGGCCATCGAACCTGAAGTATATTCCCCGCCGTTATCCCACCGAAGCGTTTCCGCGCGCATGCTGGTCTGGTTTTCAGCCAGCGCAACAAATTAAGCAAATTTGTCGGCTACCTCTTACGTCCCCTTCAACAGGTAGGTAACACAGTAACGCGACCTCTCGTCAATGAAGGTGACAAAGTAGCGCTTGTTACTAAATGTCGCGGCTCACATCAGTCGCCAAAGGTCGCTGTGGATCACTATAAGCACTTCCTTGGCACGATTTGGTGAACACTTCATGAAATTCCCTCGCGTTTGCTTGCCGAGCTGACATTCACCACACAGCTCCCACTTTCGTACTGATGTCAACTTAACCAGTGCCACAGCCTTTAGTGACGATGGTGGAAAGACCGCCAAAGCCAATGTGACCTAGCCAAAAGTGCCAGAGGTACGAAGTGGTGTCCCCACGACATTCCAACGAGCTAGTCACATTGGCTTCGTCTACTAAAATAGGCTTCATGCACAACTTGAGTAGTCCTTTGCCTTCACGCAAACCAAGCTTCCAACAAAGGCATATTACATTAGCGAAGCAACCATCCTGCTCTAACGTGACCGGGCCACAATATCTGGTAAAACGCCTTACAGAGAACAAATTGCGCGAAAGCTGGGAATGTGCCACATTGATGTAATTACTCCCTTCTAGACTTCTCGTGGCATCTTCATCGACATGATGATGTTGCCCATTCACACCGCTTGAACTACACCGTCGTCAGCAAGGTGCACATTCACAGGGTTGATCTTTTTGTAATTTCTTATGTATTATTTTGATTACGTCATGTGCTGCGTTGCACCCGACTCAACCAGCCACACACATCTTAATGTTGCAGAGCTTGCGAACCCTCCAGCCGAGAACGTTAATCGTTTTGAAATTTTTTTCCTCTGCGCAAGGTTGGCACACTGCGACTGCTGTCACTCTGCGTTCTCCCTGATCCAAGCTAGACACTAAACGATCTAATGTCCGTGCTCCCCACAGTAATGACAGGAGCTGCTGGTCTTTGCTGGGCTTGTCGTCCAGTGCGCCGACCAGAGTCTTGGGTCAAAAACGCTTGACTGAGTCCTTTCACTGCTTCTTTAACTCCTTTCTCGTTGCGCTTGAGATCCTCATGCGGCAGCCGAAACGTGATGAGCTTTAACGACAGTGAGTCGGCTCTTGACTTTAACCCCGTGATAAGGAATCCGTACGACTAGCTGAGACTTGCGAGTAGAATAATCACTAGATCGTCTTCGCTGACCTAGGCGCCCACTGCGTCGATCTGCTCCGCCAGCGTCGATCTGCTCCGCCAGCGTCTTGATCTTGTTGATGTGTTCCATCACATCATCACCGTCTTCCATCTTGGCCCTTGAGAAGCGACGACGAAGAAAGAGCTTGTCTGCGAGGCTATCCTTTTCGAATTGTCCTTCCAGCCGTGACCATGCATCATGCGCTCCATTCGCTGAGCGGACCAACGGCAGCTGCGGATCCTCCATCGCGATACATATTAATGCCAGTGCCTAGCGGGACTTGCGCTTGAACGTCGTCTGGTCCAACTGCGAGACGCACTGCTCCACCTTCATTTCTACGCTCACCACTTCCCACTGGTCACGCTCCTCCAGTACCATCTGCATCTTGAATCTTTCACGTGTGGAAGTTAGTTCCGTCGAACTTGTTGAGCGGTTGGGAGCGAAGGCGTTCATGACGAGGGCGACGTCGGTGTCGAAGTCAGGAAAGACGGGGCTTGGGCTGATAACCTTTTGAAAAGTAAAGTGCTCAGTTGTTGGCAAAGTGCAAGGTAAAAATATTTAGGCTCTTAGTTCACAAACTTGTTGCTACTGTAAGCCTACTGTATTCTTCGACTACACGTTCCTTATCGCTATATCGCGCACTACTAATTGTATAGTCGCGCATGAGTAATCTACTCTAAACACAATAATCATCAGATATTCCCACATAAGTAATCCATACTACTGGTATTTCTCATGTAACGCATGAGTGATCTACTCTATACACATTGCTCATAATATATGCGCACTAGTAATCACCAGACTGTATCTTTCGTTTGTCGCTCGCTGGACGAGGCGCATCTTCAACAACAACGAGGGTTTCTTATGCTAGAATCTATATGTGTGCAGCCCCTACCCGTAAATAGGACGAGCAACACCAAAATGCGAGAATGAATGCCATTACTAATTTAAATTCTTGCTGAGAAATTCTAATGTAAAATGTAGATAGTGGAGCAAACGCTGGAGCTCGCCCTCAAATATAATCTATCTAGTCCAAAGAGCTGCACTAATCTATCATATTCACGTTTTAACTGTAGTGGTATGCAGCTAGAAAGTGGGTTGTGTTTTTGTGTGCACAATAAATTAATAGAGCTGATAGGTCTTCGTGTATTGAAAAATTAGAATCTGCTATGTGTTTAAAAGAGACGATATCAATAGGTGGACAAAGGATGCCCCTAATCCGTAACGCGGTCAACCACAACGTGCGGCCTCCGATGTGACATTCTTATAATACACAAAAATAGCATGAGTCCGAAGGGTGACACTTTTAGTGGATGTGAGCAAGGTTAAAGCCGGGGTGTTATTGTTCGAATCCATGCGACTGTCTGTATGTGTCTGTTGCCTGCACAAAGCGCTCTACGACCGAAAATTTGTGGTGCGGGACGTTTCTGCCAAAACTATGGTAATAGCTGATCTGGCCGTCACATTTGAAACTCAGACTGCTGGGCTCGCAACTTTTCACTCCAAGCCAGCCACGACTTCACAGTGCTCAAGTACCAGCCCAATTCCCGACGAGCTCCGATAAAAGGAGTGTAGTGTGGAATCTGCGGCGATTGTCTAAGGCTCGCTGGTTTCGGTCCACACAAGTAATCTTAAGACCTAAACTGAGAAGCTGCACCTGCTCAGACGTGATGCTCTTCAACTTGACATTCAACTTTTCAGCCACTGTGTCCGTTCCAGCTCCCGGATTTGGAATTGGCACTGCCGAAAGCACAGGGATCGACAACGGAGTGGAGCAACTGCCAGAGTGACACGTGGGTCCGTGGGGCCGCGGACTACATTGCCGTTATGTGCACGGTGATAAGCTGGTCTCTAGGACCAACAGGGCACTAACCAGGTAGAACACCGCCTTCAAGGCCGGGTAATATTCATTCTACCCTCTGATTAGTGACATTTACACAACAACCCTTTTCTATGGTCAAGGAGAGGTCGCTAACTGGTAATACCCACAAATCTTTTTTTCTATTTGACTTTTCTAGTAGACAACCTCCTTAACTTTGATGATCGTATTCGACTTCATGCATTGACTCGGGATGTCGGTGGTAGTGCTGTGCTCTCTTTGAGACTGGCCTCCTCCGTTGATGAACGTCTGCTGTCGTTATTCCAAGACAGCGTGAGTGTGTGAAGTGATATGAGAAGTTATGGAGCTCCTAATACTACGTTTAATCTCTGCTTAATATTTCGTCCCACACTAATTGAACTCTGCTCGTAATTAAATCTCTGTACTGGATTCGATCCCCACACTCAATTCGATCCCCATACTCGATTCGATCCCCATACTCGATTCGATCTCTGTGCTCGACTTGATCTCTGCACTTAATTTGACCCATATAAGCAATTTGATCCATTCACATACTTTTGTTGACCCCTGTACGTGCTCGGTTCCCATACGATAGCTGAGCACTGGCCTTATCCATGATGTACCGAACAGAACATTGCGGCACTACATTTACATACCAATACGACACACGATGACACGCCTCTGTTCCTTTTCGATCGAACGTTTCAAAACGACATCATATCCCTGTATACGGACCTTCTTTGCAGCAAGAAACAGTTCACGACGACACGATCATGTATATTCATACACAATTACAGGCAGCAGTTGATGTTCACAGCACATAATCATCCCATACATACATGTAATATATATCGGAGGAATAGCGAAAGTTGAGCTGCTACATCATTTTTCAGAGAAACAAACGACTCGAAGTCGTAAGATTCCCGATCATACGGAATCGTGATGAAAAGAAGCAGAGCATCATTTCCAGTTCGTGTGTAACGCATATTTCGATTGACCTTGTACGAAGGCAGCAATGCAATTTCTGTTTGAAGTCAAAAAGGGCAGGTTGTAATCGGATACGAAAGTACAGATGAAGCATCCGTCTATGCTGGGTATCGTAGAGACGGTATCGTGCGCCAAGAAGTAGGTCGAAATCATCCATACGATAAACTTCAGAAGCGTACGTTGAGGTCATTCTGTGAAGAATTAGCGAAGAAATGGGGCCAAAAGGAAAGAGTATGGAACGACTCCGACAGCCATATACGCGTGCGTTTTTGCTCTAAACAAGTTTACATAAGGTTCTTGTAGCATCATCGTTGCAAGGCGGCTGACTACTTGGTATCTTGTTTCCTGTTCTTTTCATTATCTGGTGGACGTTGATACTAAAGTGATGGCAAATTCTCTATCATCGGAATGTGGTGGAAGTGGTGCTGCAGCTATGATGACGGCGGCACTGAGCAAGGCGATGAAATCTCGGCACGAAACGTTACTCTTCCAAAACGGGTTTCGGGCTCGTGTAGACTTGCTGGATGTGTTGGTGACTACAAGTCATGACAGTGGTGCTATGCTGACATAAGCAAACACATGGAAAATGAATCTTAAGAGTTGTGAGGTTGAGCATTTGTCGCCGTTTCACCCTGCTCTGATTCAACACGAATGTGCTACATGTTGAATATGGGCTCAGTTCGGTTACCGTGCCTACAAGCGCACACAAAGCTCATCTCTGCACGCAGCATTGATGGAGTGTCTGACGACGTTTCGGATCGTTTTTGTTCTGGCGAAAGAACTCAGAAGTGACTATGTTGACGCCATGGCGTATGGACTCAGCAGGGTTTGTCGTACGTGAGGTTCATAGAAGAAAGTAGGCTTGACGGCGAATCCATCGAGCAAAGTAAGACCGTACTTTTACAGGATGATTTCTATAGTACCTTCTTTTCTACTTGACTTTCCTAGTAGACAAACTCCATACCTTTTCGTCCGGCTTGACACAAACGATTGTATGCGCCTTCGGTGGCCGGACAGGTAACCTCGGGAGCGCTCGCCGTCGACCGAAAGCGACGCCTCCACGGCCAGCTACTCAAGCCTCGCCAGCGACGCGTCCTTCTCTGACGCGTCGTCGGGCGAAGAGGCCGAGCTGGCCGAAATGGGTGTCCACGACGCCGCCACGCGCCGGTCGGCTCCTCGGCTCGCGTTCGCGTCGCCCTCCGCGCGCCACTTCTCTCCACTGCCGTCTTCGTCCCCGCCCTTCTCCTCGGCTCAGGATGCGATTGTTTGGATACCCGGCAGGGCGGTCGTTACGCTGCCTGACCGGGTATCACCAGAAGCCGCTCAAGGCCGTCAGGGCGCCTGGCTTTCGCCACCGGCCGCACGGGCCACGCCGGCGCCTATCCGGCTCGTAGACGACGTCCAAGACCTTCCTCCATTTGCTGTGCCACCCGGCAGGGCGTGCCGCATGCTGCCTGTCGAGGTGGCGCCTGGACTCGTGCCCGACTCTCAGAGCGTTGGCTCCCCGGGCACTCAGACGCCTTGCCCGGGTCCGAGTGACTTCCACACGCCGCGTCAAGACCCCGGACTGTCTTCTCCGTGCGCCGATGGCCCCCCGATCGAAGATGCGAATGATTTGGTACCCGGCATGGCGGGCGGCATGCTGCCCGACCGGGTACCACCAGAAGACAATGAAGACCACAACGCCGACTCTCAGAGCGACCACTCCCTGGGTGCTGACAGGCTACACCCGGGTCCAGCCGACCTGCACCGACCTCCGCTGCCCTCCGGCCTGCCCCACCAGCCCTTGCCCCACCAGCTCCTGCCACGGCTCCCGACGAAGACTTGCTTGCTTCCCAACCCGGCAGGGCGGCAGGCATGCTTTCCGCGGGGTACGCGCTTGTAGCCGCTACGGCTCGCGCCCTGGGCGTCACGCACGACACCAGCGACCCTGCGGACAGCAGCAGCAGCGATGGGGAGGGCTCGAGTAACGAGGCAATTGCTTTTACTGTTGACGAAGACTGTCCAAGTGATGACGACCGGCTTTGTCTGGCGGCTACGGAGCTGCCCGGCCAAGCTGGATACACTGCAGTGGCCGCGGCTACACCCATGCCAGCGTCCACTGCAGCATCTGTCTCTGTCCCACTATTACAGCTCTGTGACAACCGACTCGGCGGTCCGGCATGCATGCAGCCCGACCGAGTCGGGTTTGATGAACCCACGTCCCTTGTGGACACTGCCCTGTCCAGTGCCGCTGTCCTGGACATGGTCAAAGACGTCTGCCAGCGCGCCGTCACCCACGACGTACCGGGTCCACTCCACGAACATGTCCAGACCGAAACAGGGCGACCGGACCCGGTACTATCAGTGTACGCCCATAACGCGCCCGCATTCCCTTGCACGCTGTGTGGGCACACTGCATGTGACATGAGCGCGCTGTCGAGTCACAGACGGACCTCCCACCGTGGCACCTGCTTCGTGGACCACTTCCACAGCGGGTGCCCGTGTGGCATCGGGCACAGGACTCGTGCAGCTGCTACAAAGCATGCTCTGAAGTGTCGAGACAGCCCGTCCTACACCCCTTCGGCTGCACGTGCTACCCCGGGTCCGTCTCCGGTCCCCTTTCGTTCTCGTTCTCGTTCCGTGTGGTCTGTTCCGGAGGAAGAGGTGACCCCTGAACTCACCGGGTCCCTCGTCCTGGTTCCTTCCGTGGGTACAGCTGTTGCATCAAGCAGCACTGTGCCCACAGATGCGGCCACACTCCAGAGCACCGTGCCTGCTCCCGTGAACCAAGCCGGGCACCTGCATGCCCCCCCCCGTGCGGTGCCCTTCGCCACCGCAGTCACATGTTCGGGTGGCGGGGAAGCGGCGCCGTTTAAACGAAGCTGATGACCCGCCTGCTTCTCCTGACTGGGACATGGACCAAGGAACCTCTGTGCTTGAAACCCTTGCTTTGCCTCCAGTTGAGGCAAACGAGGACCTGACTTTGGATCATGTGCTGGATGATGACATTTCCGAATTTCTTGTGGATATTTGTGGTTCTACTCTGGATGAAGCTGACCCTCCGCTCACGGAGGATGCTGCTGTCTCCGGTCGACTCGGGACGGGTGAGGCACCAACATCAGCCCCGGCAGCGCCCCGACCTCTGACTTCTGTCGCGTCCAGCACTCGTGCTACGCGGTGGAGGCCACGTCACGGCGCGATCGGGTCTTCTGGGGCTGTCCCACCTGTAGCTGATGTCCCGGCTTGTCCTGCTCCTACTTCTTGGGTGGCTGTTTCGGCTGCGCCCCGACCAATTATAACTCGTTGGGGCCCTCGACTCGTAATGACGCTACCCATCACTGGGCGACGGAATCGCACTCGACGGCCATCCTCCAGCGTTCCTGATCCCCCTTTGTTCGACCGCACCGCGCCTACTACGGCAGCTCCACCTGCTGATTCGCCGATAGCTCCGCCACCATCCCTGTCAGTGGTGGAGCCTACTGACCACCCAGCGGTTCCAGAGCCCTGGCTACTACGTTTTGACGGGGCTTGTCGTCGGAACCCTGACTTGTGGCGCTGGTGCGGTGGTAACAGACGCGTCTGGTACTGTGGTTTGGACGTGCTCCCACTTCCTGCCTGCCTGCGGTAAAACTAACAACGCCGCGGTGTACTCTACTCTATCGATAGGGCTGCAGGGAGCACTGTTCCACAATGCCAAGAGGCTAAAGATTGAAGGAGACAGCAACTTAGTGCTCGCTCAGGTGCGAGGCTCATTTACTTGCTCCAACCGACGGCTTCGGCGGTTGCGAGGTCGGGTTCGCTGCGTGTTGGGCCGCCTGGATTGGTACCAGCTCAGTCACATCGACCGGCAAGCTAACGCTCACTCCGACAGACTGGCTAACCGTGCCCTTGACCTCCACCGTCCCGCGTTGGAGTGTGGACCCCACTCTGATGACCCTTCCGCTTGTTTCAAGCCTGTTTACTCTCCACCTTCCAGCCCATCCCCGGCTGGGCCAGTCACAGATGGTCCTCCCGATGCGGATACTGATGGCTCTAAGGATGACGAGCCATGGACGTAGAAGCCGAGATCGCTGCTCGCGATGGGGGTGAAGTTTTCCCGACTATTCTCATTGGTCCGGGTTCTACTCCAGCGCGACAACCTCGGCTCCGTCTCCGTCACTTGAGCGAGGAGGAGCAGGATATTGCTGCTGCTGCGGTACAGCACTTTGCGGATGTCATGGCGAGCAAGATTACGGATGCGGACAGTTGGATATCTGGTGAGGGATACATCTTGGCCATCCCAGACCGGCTTCGCGAAGTGCTGCTGCCATTCTCGGTGTCACCAATGGGTACTTCAAGCTCGAGAGACAACTGTCCTCGCCAACGCCCACCCCGCGTGACGCGTACGCAGCGCGAGCATCGGTTGGATGAGGCCCTTGATGACATGCAAGCGACGCAACAGGCGGTACCGAGTGACCGTCGCGCGGTCCGGAAGTCTCGCCGCCGCGTGGGTAGAATACGAGCGTCTATGGCTCAACTCGAGTTGCGTCGCCGCTTTGCGCAAGAAGAAGCAAATTGTGTTTCTCTATCGTCGAGGGTGCCTCTGCCGAATCTGCGGGTGTCGAGCACCCGATACATGTCCTATTGAACGGAAGGAGCTCCACCGGCACTTCGTCTGCACCAGTTCCGCTCCTGCCGCTTTTAATTACGATGCTGACTGTGAACAGGAATTCCGGGATGTTCTTAATGGATTCCCACGGACGCATCTAGGTGATGATTGCTTTTCCGAGGCTTTTTCGATGGACGAAGTGGAGGACGAGCTGTTGAGGGTAACTAAAACGTCCAGCCCCGGGCACGATGGGGTTGGCTATGATGTTTACAACCAGTTTGCCCCGCAATTGATACCCCTTCTGCATGCCGCTTACCGATTCTTCTGGCTACACCGGATGGTACCTCGACTCTGGAAGGTGGGCATGGTCCGCTTGGTTCACAAGAAAGGCGACCCGCTGCAACCTACGAACTGGAGGCCAATTTGCTTACAGCCCGCTATATACAAACTTTACAGCGGGTTGCTGGCCAAGCGGCTGTCGTGCTGGTTGGAACTTAACCACCGGTTGCCCATGGCGCAAAAGGGGTTTCGAGAGTTTAACGGATGCCATGAGCACAATTTCCTGGCTACTACGATGCTCGATCAGACCCGTCGCTCGCGCCGCAAGCTCTACCAAGTCTGGTATGACCTCCGAAACGCCTTCGGTTCGCTTCCGTAGCCCCTCATGTGGCAGGTGCTCCGCCGGATTGGTGTTGAGCCCCGGTTCATTAACCGATGCCAAGATATCTATGAGGGGTCTGCTTTCGTGGTTATGAATGCGAAGGACGGGGTGACCGACCCGGTGCGACAGGAAGTGGGTGTCTACCAAGGCTGCCCCTTGAGCCCCCTTCTTTTTATTGCTGCTCTCATCCCACTGGTCCGCCGTTTGGAACTACTGGAGGATGTCGGTGTGCCGCTGGCTGAGGGTGTCCGCCCGTGCACCACCGCTTATGCCGACGACATCAAGGTTTTCAGTGACAGTGCCGATGGAATCCGCCGCTGCCATGCCGTTGTCCGGAGGTTTCTCCAGTGGACGGGGCTGCGCGCTAACCCTGCCAAGTGTGCGAGCCTTGCGGTGACCATTAATGCTCGTGGTAACCCGACACTTGACGACAGTGTTCGGCTGGGGATTCATGGCGATGTCATTTCCCCGCTCACCCTTAATGAGAGCTATCGCTATTTGGGGGTGGGCGATGGCTTTGACCATGTTCAGCACCGCCTCCAGCTCGAGCCAAAGCTCCAGCAGATAAAGCGAGAGGCTGTGGCACTGATGAAGTCTGTCTTAGCGGTGTGGCAAGTGGTGAAAGCGCTTAAGACTTACGTATATCCGAAGGTGGACTACGCGCTTCGCCACTTGCGCCCGCTTCACTCTCAGCTTGAAGGATTTGACTGTGCCGTGTAGCGCGGACTGCTACATTGCTGCGCCTGCCCCAGTCTTCGACCACTGAGTTCTTCTACGCGCCCACTTCTGGTGGTGGACTGGGCCTGCAGTCTCTAGTGGAGATGCACCAATCTCTGCAGGTGGCGCACGCATGGCAGATGTTGCACTCCAAGGATCCAGCTCTAGTGGCGGTGGCGAAGGCTCAGGTCCTACAGGTCGTGCACAAACGATACCGCCTATTGAACGACCACTGGACGGGTCGAGACGACGAACTCGTACGTTTGTTTTTGAACTCCAAGCTCGCGTCGTCTCCCCACGCCACCATCCATCGCAGATCGGGGGACATCGCTTCGGTTTGGGTGGATGTGCAGCGGGTGCTGTGCATCCACCGTATTACCTTTACTGATCGCGCCGACGAGTCTGGTCAGGACTCGTTTGCGATTCGCGTGCCGCACCACACCCAATGGCTTGACCACAAGTCTGTTTTGCGGCACGTGAAGTTGCACATGATTCGACACCAGACTCGGTGGCAGAGTCTGGTGGAACAAGGCCGGAGGGCTCGGGTTCACGGTGGACCCGGGTCTAAGTTTGTGCTATCGGGAGTGGGCCTGTATGATGCTGAACATCGGTTCGGCATACAGGCTTGTCTAAACCAAGTGGACACGAACTCGGTTCTGAAGCGACGCCGTATGTGGTTAAATGCTCATTACCGACAGCCGGCCTGCTCGAGTGCGGAGACACTGGCGCACGTTTTGAATCACTGTGCATCCAATATGAGTTTAATCCACCAGCGTCATGATACTGCACTCGAGCTGATTGGTGTGGAGATCAGGAAAAAAAGCGCTGCAATGGACCAAGTCGCAAGCAGAGTTACGACTCAATCAGACGGTTCCTGAGTACACCGGTGCGGCCCTCCATCCGGATATGGTGCTGAGGGACGTGAATGCCAAGACCATGGTGATCGCTAATTTGGCAGTCACATTAGATACCCGTTGTGCTGGATCTCGCCTTTCCTCGCTGCAGTCCAGCTATGACTTCAAGATGCTCAAGTACAAGCCTACCTCCAATGAACTCCGGCTGAAGGGGTGGAGAGTGGAGTCTGCTGCGATTGTCTATCGGTAGCTAGGCTCGGTGCTTCCACGTAACCTCAAAAAATACACGGACAAGCTCCACCAGATCAAGCGCGATGCTCAAAATCTGGAATTTCGCCTTTCCAGTCATTGTGTCCGCTCCAGTTGCCGGATCTGGAGCTAGCACTGCCAACTACAAAGGGATCGACAACGGATTGGGGCGGCTACAAGAGTGTCGCGCGGGTCCGGGGGGAACCCTCAGGCTACTCGACCGCCAGATGCGAGGTTATAAGCGGGTCTTCGTGACAGACAGGGCACTATCCAGGTAGGATACCGCTCCTTAAACCCAGGTACTATCTTAGTCCCTCCGACTCGTGACATTCATACTGCACAATACTTACGTCCTGGAGAGGTCGCTAACTGGTAATACCCACAAACCTTTTTTTCTACTTGACTTTACTAGTAGACAACCTCCTTAACTTTGATGGTCGTATTCGACTTCATGCATTAACTCGGGATGTCGGTGGTAGTGCTGTGCTCTCTTTGAGACTGGCCTCCTCCGTTGATGAACGTCCGCTGTCGTTATTCCAAGACAGCGTGAGTGTGTGAAGTGATATGAGAAGTTATGGAGCTCCTAATGCTACGTTTAATCTCTGCTTAATATTTCGTCCCACACTAATTGAACTCTGCTCGTAATTAAATCTCTGTACTGGATTCGATCCCCACACTCAATTCGATCCCCATACTCGATTCGATCTCTGTACTCGATTTGATCTCTGTACTTAATTTGACCCATATAATCAATTTGATCCATTCATATACTTTTGTTGACCCCTGTACATGCTCGGTTCCCATACGATAGCTGAGCACTAGCCTTATCCATGATGTACTGAACAGAACAGTGCGGCACTACAATTACATACCAATACGACACGCGATGACACGCCTCTGTTCCTTTCAGATCGAACGTTTCAAAACGACATCCTATCCCCGTGTACGGACCTTCTTTGCAGCAAGAAACAGTTCACGACGACACGATCATGTATATTCATACACAATTACATGCAGCAGTTGATGTTCACACCACATAAGCATCCCATACATACATGTAATCTGTATCGGAGGAATAGCGAAAGTTGAGCTCCAACATCATTTTTCAGAGAAACAAACGACTCGAAGTCGTAAGATTCCCGATCATACGGAATCGTGATGAAAAGAAGCAGAGCATCATTTCCAGTTCGTGTGTAACGCATATTTCGATTGACCTTGTACGAAGGCAGCAATGCAATTTCTATTTGAAGTCAAAAAGGGCAGGTTGTAATCGGATACGAAAGTACAGATGAAGCATCCACCTATGCTGGATATACGTCTATGCTGAATATCGTAGAGACGGTATCGTGCGCCAAGAAGTAAGTCAAAATCATCCATACGATTAACTTCAGGAGCGTACGTTGAGGTCATTCTGTGAAGAATTAGCGAAGAAATGGGGCCAAAAGGAAAGAGTATGGAACGACTCCGACAGCCATATACGCGTGCGTTTTTGCTCTAAACAAGTTTACATAAGGTTCTTGTAGCATCATCGTTGCAAGGCGGCTGACTACTTGGTATCTTGTTTCCTGTTCTTTTCATTATCTGGTGGACGTTGATACTAAAGTGATGGCAAATTCTCTATCATCGGAATGTGAGGGAAGTGGTGCTGCAGCTATGATGACGGCGGCACTGAGCAAGGCGATGAAATCTCGGCACGAAACGTTACTCTTCCAAAACGGGTTTCGGGCTCGTGTAGACTTGCTGGATGTGTTGGTGACTACAAGTCATGACAGTGGTGCTATGCTGACATAAGCAAACACATGGAAAATGAATCTTAAGAGTTGTGAGGTTGAGCATTTGTCGCCGTTTGACCCTGCTCTGATTCAACACGAATGTGCTACATGTTGAATATGGGCTCAGTTCGGTGACCGTGCCTACAAGCGCGCACAAAGCTCATCTCTGCACGCAGCATTGATGGAGTGTCTGACGACGTTTCGGATCGTTTTTGTTCTGGCGAAAAGAACTCAAAAGTGACTACATTGGTGCCATGGTGTATGGACTCAGCAGGGTTTGTCGTACGTGAGGTTCATAGAAGACAGTAGGCTTGACGGCGAATCCATCGAGCAAAGTAAGACCGTATTTTTACAGGATGATTTCTATAGTACCTTCTTTTCTACTTGACTTTCCTAGTAGACAACCTCCTTAACTTTGATGATCGTATTCGACTTCATGCATTAACTCGGGATGTCGGTGGTAGTGCTGTGCTCTCTTTGAGACTGGCCTCCTCCGTTGATGAACGTCCGCTGTCGTTATTCCAAGACAGCGTGAGTGTGTGAAGTGATATGAGAAGTTATGGAGCTCCTAATGCTATGTTTAATCTCTGCTTAATATTTCGTCCCACACTAATTGAACTCTGCTCGTAATTAAATCTCTGTACTGGATTCGATCCCCACACTCAATTCGATCCCCATACTCGATTCGATCCCCATACTCGATTCGATCTCTGTGCTCGACTTGATCTCTGCACTTAATTTGACCCATATAAGCAATTTGATCCATCACATACTTTTGTTGACCCCTGTACGTGCTCGGTTCCCATACGATAGCTGAGCACTAGCCTTATCCATGATGTACCGAACAGAACAGTGCGGCACTACGTTAACATACCAATACGACACACGATGACACGCCTCTGTTCCTTTCAGATCGAACGTTTCAAAACGACATCATATCCCTGTATACGGACCTTCTTTGCAGCAAGAAACAGTTCACGACGACATGATCATGTATATTCATACACAAACATGCAGCAGTTGATGTTCACACCACATAAGCATCCCATACATACCTGTAATATATATCGGAGGAATAGCGAAAGTTGAGCTGCTACATCATTTTTCAGAGAAACAAACGACTCGAAGGCGTAAGATTCCCGATCATACGGAATGGTGATGAAAAGAAGCAGAACATCATTTCTTGTTCGTGTGTAACGCATATTTCGATTGACCTTGTGCGAATGCAGCAATGCAATTTCTGATTGAAGTCAAAAAGGGCAGGTCGTAATCGGATACGAAAGTACAGGTGAAGCATCCGTCTATGCTGGGTATCGTAGAGACGGTATCGTGCGCCAAGAAGTAGGTCGAAATCATCCATACGATAAACTTCAGAAGCGTACGTTGAGGTCATTCTGTGAAGAATTAGCGAAGAAATGGGGCCAAAAGGAAAGAGTATGGAACGACTCCGACAGCCATATACGCGTGCGTTTTTGCTCTAAACAAGTTTACATAAGGTTCTTGTAGCATCATCGTTGCAAGGCGGCTGACTACTTGGTATCTTGTTTCCTGTTCTTTTCATTATCTGGTGAACGTTGATACTAAAGTGATGGCAAATTCTCTATCATCGCAATGTGGTGGAAGTGGTGCTGCAGCTATGATGACGGCGGCACTGAGCAAGGCGATGAAATCTCGAGATAAACAGTGTGACCTTTTGAGGTGATTATAATGAAGCGTTCATTTGAGAGCTGGTTCATTTTGCGTGGTTATCGCTAGTTGGTGTGAGCGCACGTTTAGGCGATCAAAAGTCGATTACATCACGAAAGTCTTTGATGTTGCGGATCAATGCTACATTTAACAGTATGTAGATCTGTGCCACGAAACGTTACTTTTCCAAAACGCGTTTCGGACTCGTATCGACTGCTGGATGTGTTGGTGACTACAAGTCATGACAGTGGTGCTATGCCGACATAAGCAAACACATGGAAAAATGAATCTGAAGAGTTGTGAGGTTGAGCATTTGTCGCCGTTTCACCTTGTTCTGATTCAACACGAATGTGCTGATGTTGAATATGGGCTCAGTTCGGTGACCGTGCCTACAAGCGCGCACAAAGTTCATCTCTGCACGCAGCATTGATGGAGTGTCTGACGACGTTTCGGATCGTTTTTGTTCTGGCGAAAAGAACTCAAAAGTGACTACATTGGTGCCATGGTGTATGGACTCAGCAGGGTTTGTCGTACGTGAGGTTCATAGAAGACAGTAGGCTTGACGGCGAATCCATCGAGCAAAGTAAGACCGTACTTTTACAGGATCATTTCTATAGTACCTTCTTTTCTACTTGACTTTCCTAGTAGACAACCTCCTTAACTTTGATGATCGTATTCGACTTCATTCATTGACTCGGGATGTTGGTGGTAGTGCTGTGCTCTCTCTTGAACTTGGCCTTCCCCATTGATGAACGTCCGCTGTCGCTATTCCAAGGCAGCGTGAGTGAGTGGAGTGATATGAGAAGTTGTGGAGCTCCTTATGCTATGTTTGGTCTCTGCTTAATATTTCGTCCCACACTAATTGAACTCTGCTCGTAATTAAATCTCTGTACTGGATTCGATCCCCACACTCAATTCGATCCCCATACTCGATTCGATCTCTGTACTCGATTTGATCTCTGTACTTCATTTGACCCATATAATCAATTTGATCCATTCATATACTTTTGTTGACCCCTGTACACGCTCGGTTCCCATACGATAGCTGAGCACTAGCCTTATCCATGATGTACCGAACAGAACAGTGCGGCACTACAATTACATACCAATACGACACACGATGACACGCCTCTGTTCCTTTCAGATCGAACGTTTCAAAACGACATCATATCCCCGTGTACGGACCTTCTTTGCAGCAAGAAACAGTTCACGACGACACGATCATGTATATTCATACACAATTACAGGCGGAAGTTGATGTTCACAGAGCATAATCATCCCATACATACATGTAATCTGTATTGGAGGAATAGCGAAAGTTGAGCTCCAACATCATTTTTCAGAGAAACAAATGACTCGAAGTCATAAGATTCCCGATCATACGGAATCGTGATGAAAAGAAGCAGAGCATCATTTCCAGTTCGTGTGTAACGCATATTTCGATTGACCTTGTACGAAGGCAGCAATGCAATTTCTGTTTGAAGTCAAAAAGGGCAGGTTGTAATCGGATGCGAAAGTACAGATGAAGCATCCACCTATGCGTCTATGCTGGGTATCGTAGAGACGGTATCGTGCGCCAAGAAGTAGGTCAAAATCATCCATACGATAAACTTCAGGAGCGTACGTTGAGGTCATTCTGTGAAGTATTAGCGAAGAAATGGGGCCAAAAGGAAAGAGTATGGAACGACTCCGACAGCCATATACGCGTGCGTTTTTGCTCCAAACAAGTTTACATAGGGTTCTTGTAGCATCATCGTTGCAAGGCGGCTGACTACTTGGTATCTTGTTTCCTGTTCTTTTCATTATCTGGTGGACGTTGATACTAAAGTGATGGCAAATTCTCTATCATCGGAATGTGGGGGAAGTGGTGCTGCAGCTATGGTGACGGCGGCACTGAGGAAGGCGATGAAATCTCGAGATAAACAGTGTGACCTTTTGAGGTGATTATAATGAAGCGTTGATTTGAAAGCTGATTCATTTTGCGTGGTTATCGCTAGTTGGTGTGAGCGCACGTTTAGGCGATCAAAAGTCGATTACATCACGAAAGTCTTTGATGTTGCGGATCAATGCTACATTTAACAGTATGTAGATCTGTACCACGAAACGTTACTTTTCCAAAACGGGTTTCGGACTCGTATCGACTTGCTGGATGTGTTGGTGACTACAAGTCATGACAGTGGTGCTATGTTGACAGAAGCAAACACATGGAAAATGAATCTTAAGAGTTGTGAGGTTGAGCATTTGTCGCCGTTTGACCCTGTTCTGATTCAACACGAATGTGCTGATGTTGAATATGGGCTCAGTTCGGTGACCGTGCCTACAAGCGCACACAAAGCTCATCTCTGCACGCAGCATTGATGGAGTGTCTGACGACGTTTCGGATCGTTTTTGTTCTGGCGAAAAGAACTCAGAAGTGACTACATTGGCGCCATGGTGTATGGACTCAGCAGGGTTTGTCGTACGTGAGGTTCATAGAAGAAAGTAGGCTTGACGGCGAATCCATCGAGCAAAGTAAGACCGTACTTTTACAGGATCATTTCTATAGTACCTTCTTTTCTACTTGACTTTCCTAGTATACAACCTCAATAACTTTGATGATCGTAGTCGACTTCATTCATTGACTCGGGATGTTGGTGGCTGTAGTGCTGGGTTTCTCTCTTGAACTTGGCCTTCCCCATTGATGAAAGTCCGCTGTCGTTATTCCAAGACAGCGTGAGTGTGTGAAGTGATATGAGAAGTTATGGAGCTCCTTATACTACGTTTGGTCTTTGCTTAATGTTTCGTCCCACATTAATTGAACTCTGCTCGTCATTAAATCCATGTACTGTATTCGATCCCCACACTCAATTCGATCCCCACACTCGATTCGATCCCCATACTCGATTCGATCTCTGTACTCGATTTGATCTATGTACTTGATTTGACCCATGTAAATCAATTTCAACCATTCACATACTTTTGTTGACCCCTGTACATGCTCGGTTCCCATACGATAGCTGAGCACTAGCCTTATCCATGATGTACCGAACAGAACAGTGCGGCACTACATTAACATACCAATACGACACACGATGGCACGCCTCTGTTCCTTTTCGATCGAACGTTTCAAAACGACATCATGTCCCTGTATACGGACCTTCTTTGCAGCAAGAAACAGTTCACGACGACACGATCATGTATATTCATACACAATTACAGGCGGAAGTTGATGTTCACAGAGCATAATCATCCCATACATACCTGTAATCGATATCGGAGGAATAGCGAAAGTTGAGCTGCTACATCATTTTTCAGAGAAACAAACGACACGAAGGCGTAAGATTCCCGATAATACGGAATGGTGATGAAAGCAGCAGAACATCATTTCTTGTTCGTGTGTAACGCATATTTCGATTGACCTTGTACGAAGGCGGCAATGCAATTTCTGATTGAAGTCAAAAAGGGCAGGTTGTAATCGGATGCAAAAGTACCGATGAAGCATCCGTCTATGCTGGATATCGTAGAGACGGTATCGTGCGCCAAGAAGTAGGTCGAAATCATCCATACGATAAACTTCAGAAGCGTACGTTGAGGTCATTCTGTGAAGAATTAGCGAAGAAATGGGGCCAAAAGGAAAGAGTATGGAACGACTCCGACAGCCATATACGCGTGTGTTTTTGCTCCAAACAAGTTTACATAGGGTTCTTGTAGCATCATCGCTGCAAGGCGGCTGACTACTTGGTATCTTGTTTCCTGCTCTTTTTATCATCTGGTGGACGTTGATACTAAAGTGATGGCAAATTCTCTATCATCGGAATGTGGGGGAAGTGGTGCTGCAGCTATGGTGACGGCGGTACTGAGGAAGGCGATGAAACCTCGAGATAAACAGTGTGACCTTTCAAGGTGATTCTAATGAAGCGTTGATTTGAAAGCTGATTCATTTTGCGTGGTTATCGCTAGTTGGTGTGAGCGCACGCTTAGGCGATCAAATGCCGATTACATAACGAAAGTCTTTGATGTTGCGAATCAATACTACATTTAACAGGATGTAGATCTGTACCACGAAACGTTACTTTTACAAAACGGGTTTCGGACTCGTATCGACTTGCTGGATGTGTTGGTGACTACAAGTCATGACAGTGGTGCTATGCTGACATAAGCAAACACATGGAAAATGAATCTTAAGAGTTGTGAGGTTGAGCATTTGTCGCCGTTTGACCCTGTTCTGATTCAACACGAATGTGCTACATGTTGAATATGGGCTCAGTTCGGTTACCGTGCCTACAAGCGCACACAAAGCTCATCTCTGCACGCAGCATTGATGGAGTGTCTGACGACGTTTCGGATCGTTTTTGTTCTGGCGAAAAGAAATCAGAAGTGACTATATTGGCGCCATGGCGTATGGACTCAGCAGGGTTTGCCGTACGTGAGGTTCATAGAAGAAAGTAGGCTTGACGGCGAATCCATCGAGCAAAGTAAGACCGTACTTTTACAGGACCATTTCTATAGTATCTTCTTTTCTACTTGACTTTCCAAGTAGACAACCTCCTTAACTTTTCGTCCGGCTCGACGCCAACGCGTGGATGCGCCTCTGGTTGCCCGACTGGGAACTCCGGGAGCGCTCGCCGTCGACCGAAAGCGACGCCTCCACGGCCAGCTACTCAAGCCTCGCCAGCGACGCGTCCTTCTATGACGCGTCGTCGGGCGAAGAGGCCGGGCTGGCCGAAACGGGTGGCCACGACACCGCCACGCGCCGGTCGGCTCCTCCGCTCGCGTTCGCGTCGCCCCCCGCGCGCCACTTCTCTCCACTGCCGTCTTCGTCCCCGCCCTTCTCCTCGGCTCAGGATGCGATTGTTTGGATACCCGGCAGGGCGGGCGTTACGCTGCCTGACCGGGTATCACCAGAAGCCGCTCAAGGACGTCAGGGCGCCTGGCTTTCGCCACCGGCCGCACGGGCCACGCCGGCGCCTATCCGGCTCGTAGACGACGTCCAAGACCTTCGTCCGTTTGCTGTGCCACCCGGCAGGGCGTGCCGCATGCTGCCTGTCGAGGTGGCGCCTGGACTCGTGCCCGACTCTCAGAGCGTTGGCTCCCCGGGCACTCAGACGCCTTGCCCGGGTCCGAGTGACTTCCACACGCCGCGTCAAGACCCCGGACTGTCTTCTCCGTGCGCCGATGGCCCCCCGATCGAAGATGCGAATGATTTGGTACCCGGCAGGGCGGGCGGCATGCTGCCCGACCGGGTACCACCAGAAGACAATGAAGACCACAACGCCGACTCTCAGAGCGACCACTCCCTGGGTGCTGACAGGCTACACCCGGGTCCAGCCGACACTGCACCGACCTCCGCTGCCCTCCCGCCTGCCCCACCAGCCCCTGCCCCACCAGCCCCTGCCACGGCTCCCGACGAAGACTTGCTTGCTTCCCAACCCGGCAGGGCGGCAGGCATGCTTTCCGCGGGGTACGCGCTTGTAGCCGCTACGGCTCGCGCCCTGGGCGTCACGCACGACACCAGCGACCCTGCGGACAGCAGCAGCAGCAGCGATGGGGAGGGCTCGAGTAACGAGGCAATTGCTTTCACTGTTGACGAAGACTGTCCAAGTGATGACGACCGGCTTTGTCTGGCGGCTACGGAGCTGCCCGGCCAAGCTGGATACACTGCAGTGGCCGCGGCTACACCCATGCCAGCGTCCACTGCAGCATCTGTCTCTGTCCCACTATTACAGCTCTGTGACAACCGACTCGGCGGTCCGGCATGCATGCAGCCCGACCGAGTCGGGTTTGATGAACCCACGTCCCTTGTGGACACTGCCCTGTCCAGTGCCGCTGTCCTGGACATGGTCAAAGACGACTGCCAGCGCGCCGTCACCCACGACGTACCGGGTCCACTCCACGAACATGTCCAGCCCGAAACAGGGCGACCGGACCCGGTACTATCAGTGTACGCCCATAACGCGCCCGCATTCCCTTGCACGCTGTGTGGGCACACTGCATGTGACATGAGCGCGCTGTCGAGTCACAGACGGACCTCCCACCGTGGCACCTGCTTCGTGGACCACTTCCACAGCGGGTGCCCGTGTGGCATCGGGCACAGGACTCGTGCAGCTGCTACGAAGCATGCTATGGAGTGTCGGGACAGCCCGTCCTACATCCCTTCGGCTGCACGTGCTCCCCCGGGTCCGTCTCCGGTCCACTTTCGTTCTCGTTCTCGTTCCGTGTGGTCTGTTCCGGAGGACGAGGTGACCCCCGAACATACCGGGTCCCTCGTCCTGGCTCCTTCCGTGGGTACAGCAGTTGCATCAAGCAGCACTGTGCCCACAGATGCGACCACATCCCAGAGCACCGTGCCTGCTCCCGTGGACCAAGCCGGGCACCTGCATGCCCCCCCGTGCGGTGCCCTTCGCCACCGCAGTCGCATGTTCGGGTGGCGGGGAAGCGGCGCCGTTTAAACGAAGCTGCTGACCCGCCTGCTTCTCCTGACTGGGACATGGACCAAGGAACCTCTGTGCTTGGAACCCCTGCTTGGCCCCCAGTTGAGGCAAACGAGGACCTGACTTTGGATCAAGTGCTGGATGATGACATTTCCGAATTTCTTGTGGATATTTGTGGTTCTACTCTGGATGCAGCTGACCCTTCGCTCACGGAGGATGCTGCTGTCTCCGGTCGACTCGGGACGGGTGAGGCACCAACATCAGCCCCGGCAGCGCCCCGACCTCTGACTTCTGTCGCGTCCAGCTCCCGTGCTACGCGGTGGGGGCCACGTCACGGCGCGATCGGGTCTTCTGGGGCTGTCCCGCCTGCCGCTGATGTCCCGGCTTGTCCTGCTCCTACTTCTCGGGTGGCTGTTTCGGCTGCGCCCCGACGAACCATGACTCGTTGGGGCCCCCGACTCGTAGTGACGCTACCCATCACTGGGCGACGTACTCGCACTCGACGGCCATCCTCCAGCGTACCTGACCCTCCTTTGGTAGACCGCACCGCGCCTACTACGGCAGTTCCACCTGCTGATTCGCCGATAGCTCCGCCACCATCACTGTCAGTGGTGGAGCCTACTGACCACCCAGCGGTTCCAGAGCACTGGCTACTACGTTTTGACGGGGCTTGTCGTCGGAACCCTGGTGCTGGTGGCGCTGGTGCGGTGGTAACAGACGCGCCTGTTACTGTGGTTTGGACGTGCTCCCACTTCCTGCCTGCCCGCGGTGAAACCAACAACACCGCGGAGTACTCTGCTCTATTGATAGGGCTGCAGGGGGCACTGTTCCACGGTGCCAAGAGGCTAAAGATTGAAGGAGAAAGCAACTTGGTGCTCGCCCAGGTGCGGGGCTCATTTACTTGCTCCAACCGGCGGCTCCGGCGGTTGCGAGGTCGGATTCGCTGCGAGTTGGGCCGCCTGGATTGGTACCAGCTCAGTCACATCGACCGGCAAGCTAACGCTCACGCTGACAGACTGGCTAACCGTGCCCTTGACCTCCACCGTACCGCGTTGGAGTGTGGGCCCCACTCTGATGACCTCTCCGCTTGTTTCACGCCTGTTTCCTCTCCGCCTTCCAGCCCATCCCCGGCTGGGCCAGTCACAGATGGTCCTCCCGATGCGGATACTGATGGCTCTGTGGATGACGAGGCCATGGACGTAGAAGCCGAGATCGCTGCTCGCGATGGGGGTGAAGTTTTCCCGACTATTCTCATTGGTCCGGGTTCTACTCCAGCGCGACAACCTCGGCTCCGTCTCCGTCACTTGAGCGAGGAGGAGCAGGATATTGCTGCTGCTGCGGTACAGCACTTTGCGGATGTCATGGCGAGCAAGATTACGGATGCGGACAGTTGGATATCTGGTGAGGGATACATCTTGGCCATCCCAGACCGGCTTCGCGAAGTGCTGCTGCCATTCTCGGTGTCACCAATGGGTACTTCAAGCTCGAGAGACAACTGTCGTCGCCAACGCCCACCTCGTGTGACGCGTACGCAGCGCGAACATCGGTTGGATGAGGCCCTTGATGACATGCAAGCGACGCAACAGGCGGTACCGAGTGACCGTCGCGCGGTCCGGAAGTCTTGCCGCCGCGTGGGTAGAATACGAGCGTCTATGGCTCAACTCGAGTTGCGTCGCCGCTTTGCGCAAGACGAAGCCAAGTGTGTTTCCTCTATCCTCGATGGTGCCTCTGCCGAATCTGCGGGTGTCGAGCACCCCGATACATGTCCTATTGGACGGGAGGAGCTTCACCAGCACTTCGTCGGCACGAGTTCCGCTCCTACCGCTTTTGATTACGATGCTGACTGCGGACAGGAATTCCGGGATGTTCTTAATGGGTTCCCACGGACGCTTCTGGGTGATGATTGCTTTTCCGAGGCTTTTTCGATGGACGAAGTGGAAGACCAGCTGTTGAGGGTAACTAAAACGTCCAGCCCCGGGCACGATGGGGTTGGCTATGATGTTTACAACCAGTTTGCCCCGCAGTTGGTACCCCTTCTGCATGCCGCTTACCGATTCTGCTGGCTACATCGGATGGTACCTCGACTCTGGAAGGTGGGCGTGGTCCGCTTGGTTCACAAGAAAGGCGACCCGCTGCAACCTACGAACTGGAGGCCAATTTGCTTACAGCCCGCTATATACAAACTCTACAGCGGGTTGCTGGCCAGGCGGCTGTCGTGCTGGTTGGAACTTAACCACCGGTTGCCCATGGCGCAAAAGGGGTTTCGAGAGTTTAACGGATGCCATGAGCACAATTTCCTGGCTACTACGATGCTCGATCAGACCCGCCGCTCGCGCCGCAAGCTCTACCAAGTCTGGTATGACCTCCGAAACGCCTTCGGTTCGCTTCCGCAGCCCCTCATGTGGCAGGTGCTCCGCCGGATTGGTGTTGAGCCCCGGTTCATTAACCGATGCCAAGATATCTATGAGGGGTCTGCTTTCGTGATTATGAATGCGAAGGACGGGGCGACCGACCCGGTGCGACAGGAAGTGGGTGTCTACCAAGGCTGCCCCTTGAGCCCCCTTCTTTTTATTGCTGCTCTCATCCCACTGGTCCGCCGTTTGGAACTACTGGAGGATGTCGGTGTGCCGCTGGCTGAGGGTGTCCGCCCGTGCACCACCGCTTATGCCGACGACATCAAGGTTTTCAGTGACAGTGCCGATGGAATCCGCCGCTGCCATGACGTTGTCCGGAGGTTTCTCCAGTGGACGGGGCTGCGCGCTAACCCTGCCAAGTGTGCGAGCCTTGCGGTGACCATTAATGCTCGTGGTAACCCGACACTTGACGACAGTGTTCGGCTGGGGATTCATGGCGATGTCATTTCCCCGCTCACCCTTAATGAGAGCTATCGCTATTTGGGGGTGGGCGATGGTTTTGACCATGTTCAGCACCGCCTCCAGCTCGAGCCAAAGCTCCAGCAGATAAAGCGAGAGGCTGTGGCACTGATGAAGTCTGGCTTAGCGGTGTGGCAAGTGGTGAAAGCGCTTAAGACTTACGTATATCCGAAGGTGGACTACGCGCTTCGCCACTTGCGCCCGCTTCGCTCTCAGCTCGAAGGATTCGACTGTGCCGTGAAGCGTGGACTGCGACATATGCTGCGCCTGCCCCAGTCTTCGACCACTGAGTTCTTCTACGCGCCCACTTCTGGTGGTGGACTGGGCCTGCAGTCTCTAGTGGAGATGCACCAATCTCTGCAGGTGGCGCACGCATGGCAGATGTTGCACTCCAAGGATACAGCTCTAGTGGCGGTGGCGAAGGCTCAGGTCCTACAGGTCGTGCACAAACGATACCGCCTATTGAACGACCACTGGACGGGTCGAGACGACGAACTCGTACGTTTGTTTTTGAACTCCGAGCTCGCGTCGTCTCCCCACGCCACCATCCATCGCAGATCGGGGGACATCGCTTCGGTTTGGGTGGATGTGCAGCGGGTGCTGTGCATCCACCGTATTACCTTTACTGATCGCGCCGACGAGTCTGGTCAGGACTCGTTTGCGATTCGCGTGCCGCACCACACCCAATGGCTTGACCACAAGTCTGTTTTGCGGCACGTGAAGTTGCACATGATTCGACACCAGACTCGGTGGCAGAGTCTGGTGGACCAAGGCCGGACGGCTCGGGTTCACGGTGGACCCGGGTCTAAGTTTGTGCTATCGGGAGCGGTCCTGTCTGATGCTGAACATCGGTTCGGCATACAGGCTCGTCTAAACCAAGTGGACACGAACTCGGTTCTGAAGCGACGCCGTATGCGGCCAAATGCTCATTGTCGACAGTCGGCCTGCTCGAGTGCGGAAACACTGGCGCACGTTTTGAATCACTGTGCATCCAATATGGATTTAATCCGCCAGCGTCATGACACTGCACTCGAGCGAATTGGTGTGGAGATCAGGAAAGCGCTTCAACGGACCAAGTCGCAAGCAGAGTTACGACTCAATCAGACGGTTCCTGAGTACACCGGTGCGGCTCTGCATCCGGATATGGTGCTGAGGGACGTAAATGCCAAGACCATGGTGATCGCTGACTTGGCAGTCACCTTCGATACCCGTTGTGCTGGATCTCGCCTTTCCTCGCTGCAGTCCAGCTATGACTTCAAGATGCTCAAGTACAAGCCTATCGCCGATGAACTCCGGCTGAAGGGGTGGAGAGTGGAGTCCGCTGCGATTGTCTATGGATCTCTAGGCTCGGTGCTCCCGCGTAACCTCAAGACATACACGGACACGCTCCACCTGCTCAAGCGCGATGCTAGGACTCTGGAATTTCGCCTTTTCAGTCATTGTGTCCGCTCCAGTCGCCGGATCTGGAGCTGGCACTGCCAACTACACAGGGACCGACAACGGAGAGGGGCGGCTACAAGAGAGTCGCGCAGGTCCGGGGGGAACCTGCAGGCTCCTCAGCCGCCAGAGGCGCGGTGATAAGCTGGTCTTTATGACCGACAGGGCACTATCCAGGTAGGACACCGCCCTTTAAACCCAGGTACTATCTTAGGCCCTCCGACTCGTGACATACATACAACACAATCCTTTTGTCCTGGAGCGGTAAATAACTGGTAATACACATAAACCTTCTTTTCTACTTGACTTTCCTAGTAGAAAACCTCCTTAACTTTGATGATTGTATTCGACTTCATGCATTGACTCGGGATGTCGGTGGTAGTGCTGTGCTCTCTTTGAGACTGGCCTCCTCCGTTGATGAACGTCCGCTGTCGTTATTCCAAGACAGCGTGAGTGTGTGAAGTGATATGAGAAGTTGTGGAGCTCCTTGTACTACGTTTGGTCTCTGCTTAATATTTCGTCCCACATTAATTGAACTCTGCTCGTACTTAAATCCCTATACTGTATTCGATCCCCACACTCAATTCGATCCCCATACTCGATTCGATCTCTGTACTCGATTTGATCTCTGTACTTAATTTGACCCATATAATCAATTTGATCCATTCATATACTTTTGTTGACCCCTGTACATGCTCGGTTCCCATACGATAGCTGAGCACTGGCCTTATCCATGATGTACCGAACAGAACAGTGCGGCACTACATTAACCAACCAAGTAGTCAGCCGCCTTGCAACGATGATGCTACAAGAACCCTATGTAAACTTGTTTGGAGCAAAAACGCACGCGTACACGACTGTCGGAGTCGTTCTATACTCTTTCCTTTTGGCCCCATTTCTTCGCTAATATTTCACAGAATGACCTCAACGTACGCTCCTGAAGTTTATCGTACGGATGATTTCGACCTACTTCTTGGCGCACGATACCGTCTCTACGATACCCAGCATAGACGGATGCTTCATCTGTACTTTTGCATCCGATTACAACCTGCCCTTTTTGACTTCAACCAGAAATTGCATTGCCGCCTTCGTACAAGGTCTGTAACGGGGCACCCTGAAGCTTGTACTGGTGACAGTACAAGCTACTTATTCTGATGACAGAATAAGGCGGTGCCTCGTAACTTCACGTACACTGGTACGTGCAGAGGAAGACGGTAAGAAGAAGCGAGTACTTGGTTAGAGTAAAAAGTAGAACTGTATTTATAATAGTTAATGTCTGCAATAAATCACTATTTATCTTCATCTAACTATGTCTAAATACAAATGTGTAAATCAGTTATCTGCTCACCACTCATTGCGTGCGTCTGTCGTGGCGCGTCTTCGTTGGTTGATATAATGGCCTATATCAACCAATTAGGAACTACTCGTAAGTGCTACAGAATATTTGTCCTTATGACAATATTCTGAGAATATAACTCTTATAGTTATATTCTATTAACAATTTCTTATAAATTGTTATGTAACGATTCACCCCGTTACATCACCCCCCCCTTAACCATCAGTCACTTTAGTGACTGATTGACTAAATGGATACTCGTCCCAAATCATTTGGGACAGGGTTTGCACTTGTTGGTCCGCGTCCACTTTCCAACATCTCATCGCATGGTAAACAAGCCCATGCGATGCGCGAGCAAGGCCGCCGAGAGCGCGTCTGCACGTCTCTGTGCGGACGCCGAAGCAGAAACAACAGCAACTGATGTCCAATCGATTGCTGAAGCGACCCAGCCTGTGTCACTTGGTGATGCAGGCGCTGGTCATGAAGACACTCGTGTCTTCACAGAGTACGAGCTCGGTGTCTCGTACTCTCCTGATACGGATGACAGATCCGTATCGACGGCGATTGAATCTAAGCCGCCTGCCAAGCGTGGCATGGACGATGCTTTGCGTCGCAACATCTTTGGTTCATCTGATGAATCAGATGAACCATCGCCGAAGCGAAGGCGCTCGAGGTCGCGAGACTCGGGCGCTAATAGTGGTGTCGGTTCTCCTATGGACACCACTTCACAGCGAGGTGCCAGTGCTTCTGTCGGCACGTCGCAGGAAGAGCGGGACCGCAATGTCTTGCGTCTCGCTCCTGAGAAGAAGGCATGGATGCCTCCGAAATCCGTCATGGATCACTTGTCGGCGACGACGAGTGATCGTTATCGAACACGATTGTTCGATTCGTCAAGGATCCATCACCTTGACCCCAGCGCGAAAAACTATCGCGCTGAACACGAATTCTTCATCGATGCTTTCTTCAAACATCGATGGTACAGTGGGAATCACAAACGTGATGGTCCCTCACTACTTCAGGCGTGGAACGCCTACATCCATAACCTCGAGGATGTAGGTCGTGACGTTTGGAACGACAAACTTATCAAAGCTCGTGATGAGTTTGAAAAGCGAACCCCGACAGGTGCACGCTACAAGCTGCATCGTCTGTCAAGGGAGAAAGGATTACCCTGCCTCTCTTGGGGAGACTCGTGCCCATGTTGTGTGAACAACTCAGCACGAGCACCTAAGGAGGCTTACCTCCTTACCAGCCCGTGGTGGCGCGTACGTGTCTCTACTGAGATGTACGAAGGGATTGACAACCTGAAATCCCTTTACGACCGTGCCGGGAAGACTTTCTCCGGCGGTCCTTCTGCGGCACAGGATGTGCCGCGTCGTACTGCTCAACCAGACCCAGTACGTCGATCATCAGTTGGGAGCGGGGCTCCCAAGAATCCCAGGACGGGGGATAGCCGCGCCACCGGACGAGATAACTCGTCCGACGTCCGTTCACGTCGCGGTGGTTCAACATCTGCTCAACTAGATAGCGCTGGCCACCGCGAGAGTCCTCTAATGGAGGTGGAGGAGGAGGAAAGACGCTCTCCACACGATCATGTGGATCGGTGTGTTCCCGAGAGCTTCTTTGATCGCGTAACGCAAGGGTTACGCGACGATCTCGAACATGAGCGGAATAGGCGTCTCCAAATGGCGGACACTGCCTCGAAGCATCGAGCTGAGTTTGCCTTTGCTCAGCTCGAGAACGAGAGATCTCTGACATCTCTTCGTGACGAGCTAAGGATAGCTCGTGGGATTGTTGATCGGTCTCGGGCTGAGATAACTGCTCTTCAGACCCTTGTTGATGTCCACCATCGGGAGCACAAGGCTCTCTGCGAGATGCTTGAGCGCAAGGGCGTTCTTCATCGGAAGAAGCAGCGTACTGATGGTACGGCTTAAGCCGACCAACGTAAAACGTGGGATGCGTTCGCATCTTACGTGGTAACTCGATCGTGTATGCATCGCCTAGGCGGTGCAATACACGAAATGGGCCAATGTACTTGGGTAGTAGTTTACTGCTACCCAAGTTAGTCACTACATGCTTTGGTAGATTAACCGTAGACAGTAGGACTAAGTCACCTTTATTAAATAAAAGAGTGTTTGCCCTTCCATTCTTGTCAGCGTTTTGCTTTTGCTTATCCACCGATTCGGCGATGGAGTCTTGCACAAAACGGACTACCGTTTCACGAGCCAGTATGAACTCATCTGATGACTCGTTAGCTTCAGTGTGCTGTGAGCGCACTGCAGCAACATCAACCTTTTCTTCAGTGAGGGCTTCCGCACTCTCACTGGCATCATCTTCTTCGATATCGATGTTATCGATATCGGCATCAAACGCAATGACTTCTTCGTCAGAGCGTGATGAGCGTGAACCAAATCGGTTTTTGCTCGCGCGAGTCCCTCCCCCCTTAAACCAGAGTTACACTCTAGTAAGGTGGGTACACGCGGATGGCGCAAGCCATTCACGTAAAACGGTGTATGTGTCGTGGACGCATGCACCGAGTTGTTGATGGCAAACTCTACCATTGGCAAAAACTCACTCCAACTCTTAAAGGAGTGTACGTATCCTCGAAGTATCTCTTCAAGGACACGATTGGCACGTTCCGTCTGACCATCTGACTCTAGATGATCAGATGTTGACATCTTCAAGCGCGTTCCGAGTGATTTGAACACGGAACGCCAGAAATCAGCAGTGAATCGTGGATCTCTGTCTGATACGAGTTCACGGGGCAACCCATGAAGTCGGAAGATGGTGTCAATAAAGACACAAGCACAGCCACTTGCCGTGATTGTCTCTGGTACAGCCACAAGGTGTACCATTTTGCTGAATCTGTCAACAAATACGAGAATACCCGTATTCCCGCGTGCGTCTTTGGGTAACCCGAAGACGAAATCCATTGAGATGGATTCCCAGCACTCATCCGGAACCGGTAGAGGCTGTAAAGGTGCACGCAGTGAAGGACTTGACTTCACTCGTTGACAGACTTCGCATGCGCGAACATACTTTCGCACAAACTGATACTGGCGGGGCCAGTAAAAGTCTCTACTTACCGTGAGATATGTTTTCTCTCGGCCACGATGTCCTCTTATAGGAGCATCGTGATACTCGAACATGATCCGCAAACGCAGATCAGTATCATCTGGAATGACAACACGTGGTGTGTCACCAGAAACGGCTGTATAATACAGTAAACCGTTACGAGTAGTGTATCGATCTGATACAGATCGATACGCAGACGACAATCGTTTCAACAATTCTCGAGATGGTTGGGAGAGATGTGACAACAACTTCACTATCTCACCATCTTGGGCGTATGCCCGCCTCACATCATCATGCAACGTTAAAGATGGTACTGAGGACGTCATAACCGCAACAGTGACTGTCTCACTGTTGAGTTGCACGACTGGTTAAAAGTCGGGACAACGTGAGAGTGCGTCAGCGACGACATTAAGTCGTCCTGGTTTATACTTTACCGTAAAGTTGAATTTCGCAAAGAATGACAACCACCGCGCCATTCGTTGTGAAAGGTGCGGGCTGTTCACTGCCGTGCGTAATGACGCATGGTCAGTGTAAACAACGAAGGGTCTATCTCCTCATAGATAGACTCTGAACTTCGCGAGTGCATACTTCATGGCAAGGAGTTCCTTGTCATGCACTGGATAGTTCCGCTCAGCTGGTTGCAGCTGAAGCGACTGATAGCAGACGACGCGTTCAACGCCTTCAAGATCGTACTGCATTAATGCACAGCCGATTGCGAAATCGCTGGCATCACAGACCACATGAAATGGCCTGTCCTGATCGGCTATTGCTAGGACTGGGGATTGTATCAAGCTCTGCTTGATACCCTCAAAGGAGCGTTGCATTCAGCGTTCCATAACCACCTCTCGTTCTTTTTCAACAAACGAGAGAGGTGCACAGTCATCTCGGCGTAATTGCGTGAATACTTATGCAAATACGCCGCTAGCCCAAGGAATTTTCGAAGACCTTTGACATCGACCGGCACAGGCCAGTCGGTGATCGCCTTGATCTTTTCGGGATCAGGACGTACACCGTTATTACCAACGATGCACCCAAGAAGTAGTATTTCGCTTGCTGCAAATATACACTTCTTGAGGTTTGCATACAATTGATGCTTTCGCATGATTGTAAGAACTTGTCGGACGTGGTACCTGTGAACCTCAACGTCCGACTTTCCATCCATAGCTCGACTATGGATGAATACGTCATCGAAATATCTCGGCGCGAATTCTCGTACTGGTCTCAACAGATGTGATACACATCTGTTGAACGTGGCAGGGGCATTACTAAGCCCTTGTGGCATTACTAGCCATTCCCAGAGCATGCCGCTAGGCGTGCTAACTGCGGTATAGGGTATGTCCCGTTCTCGCATAAGGATTTAATAGAAGACATCCATCAAATCCATGGACGAAAAGATGGTACTCTTTGACATACCATCAATGATTACGTCCTTCCTCGGTATCGGCGTCTGAGCCGGTACCGTTGCAGCGTTCAATTTGTTGAACGCGTGCACTATCCGCCACCCTCCTGTTGCTTTTCGCACACAGAAGGTCGGAGAGCTATGTGGGGAAGTTGATTCCCTCACATGGCCCGCAGGTAAACGATCGGCAAAGAACTTGTCGATCGCAAGTACTTGTTCACGAGGCAGTGGCCACTGCTTCATGACACAGTACTTCGAGCCTGGTTTAAGCTCGACTTCGTGTCGAATACCTTTATCCTTCGGTAATTCGCACGGAACAGTTTCAGGGAATACATCCTTGAATTCAACCAAATCTTCATAGAGAGGATTTTCCTTGAGCGATTCCCATGATTGGGACTCATATCGCTCAATTCGTGTCTTTTAATCTAGGACACTCTCGTCCATAGATGAACTACTGAGAACTCTCTCGTTCTCAGTGAACACTGTTGCTGACCTTATGTCGGTTACACACTCGTCGTCAGCGACGAGTATGCAGATCTGCTTGACTTTGCCACTACGCAGATCACGCAAGAACCTTTTATGTTCGAGCGTTGGCAACTGAGTGATCTCCGAAGTTAACTTCGGAGGCGCAATCAGATCAAGTGTATAAGCGCCTACACTTGATCCGTTATTGACTATGACATTCAATGTCTCTGTCATTTCCTGGGGACTTATTCCCTCAGGCTTCGAAGGACTTATTCCTTCGTCTTCCCGGGGACTTATTCCCGCGGGTTTCGGGGAACTTATTTCTGCCGTATTTGTAATCTTGGGACTTATTCCCTTTATTTCCTCTAGCTGGTGTTGCGCAACCACAGCGAGATCCTCTACGAAAGACTCTCCAGTCGATCTAGGATTATCGTTTCGCTTAACCTGAGCGATCGATTGTTTCTCTTCTAGATCTTCCCCGCTAGGGATACATCTTTGTCCCAGTCCACCCGACTTATTCGAGTGGTGGACCTTCGGCGCAGCCTGTGTTTCCTCACAGCCGCCGGAACTTTGCTCCGAAGTGTAACCGTTTGGTAAAATAAGGTTTTGTGCAGTCGTACTTACGACCGTACAACAAGTGAGGCCATCGCACTCACTCGTAGTACATCCACACGCTTGTGGACTCTCCAAAACGTTCATCAGATGGCCATCTGATGAACAAGCGGCAGGCATCGTTACTGTTCGATGTTGCCAGTTTACTCGTGGTTCGTACCTTCTGAGCCACGGTATTCCAAGGATGACATCAAATTTGTCATCCAAATCCAATACGATAAAGTCATCGTCATATTGGGTATCTTCTAGCGTATAGTGGATCTTCACTATACGCTTCATGACGGTTACGGATGCGCCTGTCGCAAGACGTACCGTCATCCTCGTAGGAGGTGTGTCACATTCACTGAACTTAAAGTGACCATCTTCTAGCGATTGGCGTCGCACAAAATTGTTGGACGCCCCACAATCGACTAGAGCTCGAAGGGACAACTTACTCGTCACTTCGAGTTTCAAGGTAATGAGTGAGACCTCATTACCTAGAGCAGCAACGCACAACGTTTGTGTGTTGGGAGCAACCTTCATCAAGAGGCCTACAAATTCTCTTGACGTTGCTGGACCAGTAGGGTGCTCCGCACCTACTGATCCTGTCCGTTTTTTGACGGTCCATCCCGTTGTTGCGTCTTTGCACCAACTGCGGACCCTCGTCCCTGCCCCTCTCTCATGGGTGGACGGTCACTACGCCCAGTGTCGCGAGCCACTGGACGAGGGGCACTACACTCGTAAGCGTAGTGTCCTGTCTTTTGACATCTGTTGCATCTCTGCAACTTCTTGTAGCCTGTAGAGCGAGCCTTCTCGCTCTCTACATAACAGAGCTCCATCGGTTCTGGACCTCCGTTGTCATATCGTCTCGGTTGACGATATGATGTCGAGCTGGCGCGAGCCTGTCTCAGACTGAAGTCTTCCTGCTCCGCAATGGAAATGGCTTGTTCTAGTGAATCTAGTTCAAGCCGGAACAGGTGAGTCTTGACGGGACCATCCGCAAGACCCTGCATCAACACCGAAACCAACGTGTGTTCATCCACCGGATTGGAACTTATACAACTCGTGAGATGTCGTATATGTTGAGCGTAAGCGTGCACATCACGCTTACCCTGCTTGAGCTTCAAGAGTTCGGTTCGAGCTCTGAACTCAGCTCTAGGCGGTTCAAACGTTTGTCTGAGCCGCGACTTGAAGACTTCCAACGACCCAAACGCATATGGGTCGTGCAACTTGAGCCCCAGTGCCCAAGTCTTGGCACGTCCTGCCAGATTTGACTGGGCAAATGCAACTTGCATATCCCCGTCGTCGATGCGACGCGCCCTTATGGCGTCATCCAATTCGACGAACCATCTCAAGAGGGAGTCTTCTTCAACCCCCCTATACTTGGAGATGTCAATCTTCAAAGTCTCGGGTCGACGCGAGTGCATCGACCCGCCAGCAGCAGCCTGCTGCTGTCTCAACAGTTCAAACTGTTGAGCACCCTGTTCTCTCAGCAACTCTGCTTGTTGAGAACCTTGTTGGTGAAGCAAGGCTACTTTCTCGCGTTCAGCGTCAAGTTCATTTTGAATGAACTTGGCGATAGTAGCATGTTGGGCATCTCTATTGAGAGCCTCTAGCATGACGCTAACAGCATGGATGCCCATGGTCGAACCCATTCGTTCAACCGCATCCCATTCGACATCGCTCAAATGGGAGTAGCCGTCACGCGTAGCGTGAAAGCTTTGGTCATCTTCATCATCCAACATATTCATGTTGGATGTGAACGCGGTCCTTGGACGGACTACGAAGTGCTACCAGGTGTAACGGGGCACTCCTGAAGCTTGTACTGGTGACAGTACAAGCTACTTATTCTGATGACAGAATAAGGCGGTGCCTCGTAACTTTACGTACACTGGTACGTGCAGAGGAAGACGGTAAGAAGAAGCGAGTACTTGGTTAGAGTAAAAAGTAGAACTGTATTTATAATAGTTAATGTCTGCAATAAATCACTATTTATCTTCATCTAACTATGTCTAAATGCAAATGTGTAAATCAGTTATCTGCTCACCACTCATTGCGTGCGTCTGTCGTGGCGCGTCTTCGTTGGTTGATATAATGGCCTATATCAACCAATTAGGAACTACTCGTAAGTGCTACAGAATATTTGTCCTTATGACAATATTCTGAGAATATAACTCTTATAGTTATATTCTATTAACAATTTCTTATAAATTGTTATGTAACGATTCACCCCGTTACAAGGTCAATCGAAATATGCGTTACACACGAGCTAGAAATGCTGTTCTGCTTCTTTCATCACCATTCCGTATTATCGGGAATCTTACGCCTTCGTGTCGTTTGTTTCTCTGAAAAATGATGTAGCAGCTCATCTTTCGCTATTCCTCCGATATCGATTACAGGTATGTATGGGATGATTATGCTCTGTGAACATCAACTTCCGCCTATAATTGTGTATGAATGAACATGATCGTGTCGTCGTGAACTGTTTCTTGCTGCAAAGAAGGTCCGTATACAGGGATATGGTGTCGTTTTGAAACGTTCGATCGGAAAGGAACAGAGGCGTGCCATCGTGTGTCGTATTGGTATGTTAATGTAGTGCCGCACTGTTCTGTTCGGTACATCATGGATAAGGCTAGTGCTCAGCTATCGTATGGGAACCGAGCATGTACAGGGGTCAACAAAAGTATATGAATGGATCAAATTGATTGTATGGGTCAAATTAAGTACAGAGATCAAATCGAGTACAGAGATCGAATCGAGTATGGGGATCGAATTGAGTGTGGGGATCGAATCCAGTATAGGGATTCAAATACGAGCAGAGTTCAATTAATGTGGGACGAAATATTAAGCAGAGACCAAACGTAGTATAAGGAGCTCCATAACTTCTCATATCACTCCACTCACTCACGCTGCCTTGGAATAGCGACAGCGGACGTTCATCAATGGGGAAGGCCAGTCTCAAAGAGAGCGCATCACTACCACCAACATCCCGAGTCAATGAATGAAGTCGACTACGATCATCAAAGCTATTGAGGTTGTCTACTAGGAAAGTCAAGTAGAAAAGAAGGTTTATGTGTATTACCAATTATTTACCGCTCCAGGACAAAAGGATTGTGTTGTAAGTATGTCACGAGTCGGAGGGCCTAAGATAGTACCTGGGTTTAAAGGGCGGTGTCCTACCTGGATAGTGCCCTGTCGGTCATAAAGACCAGCTTATCACCGCGCCTCTGGCGGCTGAGGAGCCTGCAGGTTCCCCCGGACCTGCGCGACTCTCTTGTAGCCGCCCCTCTCCGTTGTCGATCCCTGTGTAGTTGGCAGTGCCAGCTCCAGATCCGGCGACTGGAGCGGACACAATGACTGGAAAGGCGAAATTCCAGAGTCCTAGCATCGCGCTTGAGCAGGTGGAGCGTGTCCGTGTATGTCTTGAGGTTACGCGGGAGCACCGAGCCTAGAGATCCATAGACAATCGCAGCGGACTCCACTCTCCACCCCTTCAGCCGGAGTTCATCGGCGATAGGCTTGTACTTGAGCATCTTGAAGTCATAGCTGGACTGCAGCGAGGAAAGGCGAGATCCAGCACCATGGGTCTCGAAGGTGACTGCCAAGTCAGCGATCACCATGGTCTTGGCATTTACGTCCCTCAGCACCATATCCGGACGCAGAGCCGCACCGGTGTACTCAGGAACCGTCTGATTGAGTCGTAACTCTGCTTGCGACTTGGTCCGTTGAAGCGCTTTCCTGATCTCCACACCAATTCGCTCGAGTGCAGTGTCATGACGCTGGCGGATTAAATGCATATTGGATGCACAGTGATTCAAAACGTGCGCCAGTGTTTCCGCACTCAAGCAGGCCGACTGTCGACAATGAGCATTTGGCCGCATACGGCGTCGCTTCAGAACCGAGTTCGTGTCCACTTGGTTTAGACGAGCTTGTATGCCGAACCGATGTTCAGCATCAGACAGGACCGCTCCCGATAGCACAAACTTAGACCCGGGTCCACCGTGAACCCGAGCCGTCCGGCCTTGGTCCACCAGACTCTGCCACCGAGTCTGGTGTCGAATCATGTGCAACTTCACGTGCCGCAAAACAGACTTGTGGTCAAGCCATTGGGTGTGGTGCGGCACGCGAATCGCAAACGAGTCCTGACCAGACTCGTCGGCGCGATCAGTAAAGGTAATACGGTGGATGCACAGCACCCGCTGCACATCCACCCAAACCGAAGCGATGTCCCCCGATCTGCGATGGATGGTGGCGTGGGGAGACGACGCGAGCTCGGAGTTCAAAAACAAACGTACGAGTTCGTCGTCTCGACCCGTCCAGTGGTCGTTCAATAGGCGGTATCGTTTGTGCACGACCTGTAGGACCTGAGCCTTCGCCACCGCCACTAGAGCTGGATCCTTGGAGTGCAACATCTGCCATGCGTGCGCCACCTGCAGAGATTGGTGCATCTCCACTAGAGACTGCAGGCCCAGTCCACCACCAGAAGTGGGCGCGTAGAAGAACTCAGTGGTCGAAGACTGGGGCAGGCGCAGCATATGTCGCAGTCCACGCTTCACGGCACAGTCGAATCCTTCGAGCTGAGAGCGAAGCGGGCGCAAGTGGCGAAGCGCGTAGTCCACCTTCGGATATACGTAAGTCTTAAGCGCTTTCACCACTTGCCACACCGCTAAGCCAGACTTCATCAGTGCCACAGCCTCTCGCTTTATCTGCTGGAGCTTTGGCTCGAGCTGGAGGCGGTGCTGAACATGGTCAAAACCATCGCCCACCCCCAAATAGCGATAGCTCTCATTAAGGGTGAGCGGGGAAATGACATCGCCATGAATCCCCAGCCGAACACTGTCGTCAAGTGTCGGGTTACCACGAGCATTAATGGTCACCGCAAGGCTCGCACACTTGGCAGGGTTAGCGCGCAGCCCCGTCCACTGGAGAAACCTCCGGACAACGTCATGGCAGCGGCGGATTCCATCGGCACTGTCACTGAAAACCTTGATGTCGTCGGCATAAGCGGTGGTGCACGGGCGGACACCCTCAGCCAGCGGCACACCGACATCCTCCAGTAGTTCCAAACGGCGGACCAGTGGGATGAGAGCAGCAATAAAAAGAAGGGGGCTCAAGGGGCAGCCTTGGTAGACACCCACTTCCTGTCGCACCGGGTCGGTCGCCCCGTCCTTCGCATTCATAATCACGAAAGCAGACCCCTCATAGATATCTTGGCATCGGTTAATGAACCGGGGCTCAACACCAATCCGGCGGAGCACCTGCCACATGAGGGGCTGCGGAAGCGAACCGAAGGCGTTTCGGAGGTCATACCAGACTTGGTAGAGCTTGCGGCGCGAGCGGCGGGTCTGATCGAGCATCGTAGTAGCCAGGAAATTGTGCTCATGGCATCCGTTAAACTCTCGAAACCCCTTTTGCGCCATGGGCAACCGGTGGTTAAGTTCCAACCAGCACGACAGCCGCCTGGCCAGCAACCCGCTTTAGAGTTTGTATATAGCGGGCTGTAAGCAAATTGGCCTCCAGTTCGTAGGTTGCAGCGGGTCGCCTTTCTTGTGAACCAAGCAGACCATGCCCACCTTCCAGAGTCGAGGTACCATCCGATGTAGCCAGCAGAATCGGTAAGCGGCATGCAGAAGGGGTACCAACTGCGGGGCAAACTGGTTGTAAACATCATAGCCAACCCCATCGTGCCCGGGGCTGGACGTTTTAGTTACCCTCAACAGCTGGTCCTCCACTTCGTCCATCGAAAAAGCCTCGGAAAAGCAATCATCACCCAGAAGCGTCCGTGGGAACCCATTGAGAACATCCCGGAATTCCTGTCCGCAGTCAGCATCGTAATCAAAAGCGGTAGGAGTGGAACTCGTGCCGACGAAGTGCTGGTGAAGCTCCTCCCGTCCAATAGGACATGTATCGGGGTGCTCGACACCCGCAGATTCGGCAGAGGCACCATCGAGGATAGAGGAAACACACTTGGCTTCGTCTTGCGCAAAGCGGCGACGCAACTCGAGTTGAGCCATAGACGCTCGTATTCTACCCACGCGGCGGCGAGACTTCCGGACCGCGCGACGGTCACTCGGTACCGCCTGTTGCGTCGCTTGCATGTCATCAAGGGCCTCATCCAACCGATGTTCGCGCTGCGTACGCGTCACGCGAGGTGGGCGTTGGCGAGGACAGTTGTCTCTCGAGATTGAAGTACCCATTGGTGACACCGAGAATGGCAGCAGCACTTCGCGAAGCCGGTCTGGGATGGCCAAGATGTATCCCTCACCAGATATCCAACTGTCCGCATCCGTAATCTTGCTCGCCATGACATCCGCAAAGTGCTGTACCGCAGCAGCAGCAATATCCTGCTCCTCCTCGCTCAAGTGACGGAGACGGAGCCGAGGTTGTCGCGCTGGAGTAGAACCCGGACCAATGAGAATAGTCGGGAAAACTTCACCCCCATCGCGAGCAGCGATCTCGGCTTCTACGTCCATGGCCTCGTCATCCACAGAGCCATCAGTATCCGCATCGGTAGGACCATCTGTGACTGGCCCAGCCGGGGATGGGCTGGAAGGCGGAGAGGAAACAGGCGTGAAACAAGCGGAGAGGTCATCAGAGTGGGGCCCACACTCCAACGCGGTACGGCGGAGGTCAAGGGCACGGTTAGCTAGTCTGTCAGCGTGAGCGTTAGCTTGCCGGTCGATGTGACTGAGCTGGTACCAATCCAGGCGGCCCAACTCGCAGCGAACCCGACCTCGCAACCGCCGGAGCCGCCGGTTGGAGCAAGTAAATGAGCCCCGCACCTGGGCGAGCACCAAGTTGCTGTCTCCTTCAATCTTTAGCCTCTTGGCACCGTGGAACAGTGCCCCCTGCAGCCCTATCAATAGAGCAGAGTACTCCGCGGTGTTGTTGGTTTCACCGCGGGCAGGCAGGAAGTGGGAGCACGTCCAAACCACAGTAACAGGCGCGTCTGTTACCACCGCACCAGCGCCACCAGCACCAGGGTTCCGACGACAAGCCCCGTCAAAACGTAGTAGCCAGTGCTCTGGAACCGCTGGGTGGTCAGTAGGCTACACCACTGACAGTGATGGTGGCGGAGCTATCGGCGAATCAGCAGGTGGAACTGCCGTAGTAGGCGCGGTGCGGTCTACCAAAGGAGAATCAGGTACGCTGGAGGATGGCCGTCGAGTGCGAGTACGTCGCCCAGTGATGGGTAGCGTCACTACGAGTCGGGGGCCCCAACGAGTCATGGTTCGTCGGGGCGCAGCCGAAACAGCCACCCGAGAAGTAGGAGCAGGACAAGCCAGGACATCAGCGGCAGGCGGGACAGCCCCAGAAGACCCGATCGCGCCGTGACGTGGCCCCCACCGCGTAGCACGGGAGCTGAACGCGAAAAAAGTCAGAGGTCGGGGCGCTGCCGGGGCTGATGTTGGTGCCTCACCCGTCCCGAGTGTGCTGATGTTGAATATGGGCTCAGTTCGGTGACCGTGCCTACAAGCGCACACAAAGCTCGTCTCTGCACGCAGCATTGGTGGAGTGTCTGACGACGTTTCGGATCGTTTTTGTTCTGGCGAAAAGAACTCAGAAGTGACTACATTGGCACCATGGTGTATGGACTCAGCAGGGTTTGCCGTACGTGAGGTTCATAGAAGAAAGTAGGCTTGACGGCGAATCCATCGAGCAAAGTAAGACCGTACTTTTACAGGATCATTTCTATAGTACCTTCTTTTCTACTTGACTTTCCTAGTAGACAACCTCCTTAACTTTTCGTCCGGCTCGACGCCAACGCGTGGATGCGCCTCTGGTTGCCCGACTGGGAACTCCGGGAGCGCTCGCCGTCGACCGAAAGCGACGCCTCCACGGCCAGCTACTCAAGCCTCGCCAGCGACGCGTCCTTCTATGACGCGTCGTCGGGCAAAGAGGCCGGGCTGGCCGAAACGGGTGGCCACGACACCGCCACGCGCCGGTCGGCTCCTCCGCTCGCGTTCGCGTCGCCCCCCGCGCGCCACTTCTCTCCACTGCCGTCTTCGTCCCCGCCCTTCTCCTCGGCTCAGGATGCGATTGTTTGGATACCCGGCAGGGCGGGCGTTACGCTGCCTGACCGGGTATCACCAGAAGCCGCTCAAGGACGTCAGGGCGCCTGGCTTTCGCCACCGGCCGCACGGGCCACACCGGCGCCTATCCGGCTCGTAGACGACGTCCAAGACCTTCGTCCGTTTGCTGTGCCACCCGGCAGGGCGTGCCGCATGCTGCCTGTCGAGGTGGCGCCTGGACTCGTGCTCCCCAGGCACTCAGACGCCTTGCCCGGGTCCGAGTGACTTCCACACGCCGCGTCAAGACCCCGGACTGTCTTCTCCGTGCGCCGATGGCCCCCCGATCGAAGATGCGAATGATTTGGTACCCGGCAGGGCTGGCGGCATGCTGCCCGACCGGGTACCACCAGAAGACAATGAAGACCACAACGCCGACTCTCAGAGCGACCACTCCCTGGGTGCTGACAGGCTACACCCGGGTCCAGCCGACACTGCACCGACCTCCGCTGCCCTCCCGCCTGCCCCACCAGCCCCTGCCCCACCAGCCCCTGCCAAGGCTCCCGACGAAGACTTGCTTGCTTCCCAACCCGGCAGGGCGGCAGGCATGCTTTCCGCGGGGTACGCGCTTGTAGCCGCTACGGCTCGCGCCCTGGGCGTCACGCACAACACCAGCGACCCTGCGGACATCAGCAGCAGCAGCGATGGGGAGGGCTCGAGTAACGAGGCAACTGCTTTCACTGTTGACGAAGACTGTCCAAGTGATGACGACCGGCTTTGTCTGGCGGCTACGGAGCTGCCCGGCCAAGCTGGATACACTGCAGTGGCCGCGGCTACACCCATGCCAGCGTCCACTGCAGCATCTGTCTCTGTCCCACTATTACAGCTCTGTGACAACCGACTCGGCGGTCCGGCATGCATGCAGCCCGACCGAGTCGGGTTTGATGAACCCACGTCCCTTGTGGACACTGCCCTGTCCAGTGCCGCTGTCCTGGACATGGTCAAAGACGACTGCCAGCGCGCCGTCACCCACGACGTACCGGGTCCACTCCACGAACATGTCCAGCCCGAAACAGGGCGACCGGACCCGGTACTATCAGTGTACGCCCATAACGCGCCCGCATTCCCTTGCACGCTGTGTGGGCACACTGCATGTGACATGAGCGCGCTGTCGAGTCACAGACGGACCTCCCACCGTGGCACCTGCTTCGTGGACCACTTCCACAGCGGGTGCCCGTGTGGCATCGGGCACAGGACTCGTGCAGCTGCTACGAAGCATGCTATGGAGTGTCGGGACAGCCCGTCCTACATCCCTTCGGCTGCACGTGCTCCCCCGGGTCCGTCTCCGGTCCACTTTCGTTCTCGTTCTCGTTCCGTGTGGTCTGTTCCGGAGGACGAGGTGACCCCCGAACATACCGGGTCCCTCGTCCTGGCTCCTTCCGTGGGTTAAGCAGTTGCATCAAGCAGCACTGTGCCCACAGATGCGACCACATCCCAGAGCACCGTGCCTGCTCCCGTGGACCAAGCCGGGCACCTGCATGTCCCCCCCCGTGCGGTGCCCTTCGCCACCGCAGCCGCATGTTCGGGTGGCGGGGAAGCGGCGCCGTTTAAACGAAGCTGCTGACCCGCCTGCTTCTCCTGACTGGGACATGGACCAAGGAACCTCTGTGCTTGGAACCCCTGCTTGGCCCCCAGTTGAGGCAAACGAGGACCTGACTTTGGATCATGTGCTGGATGATGACATTTCCGAATTTCTTGTGGATATTTGTGGTTCTACTCTGGATGCAGCTGACCCTTCGCTCACGGAGGATGCTGCTGTCTCCGGTCGACTCGGGACGGGTGAGGCACCAACATCAGCCCCGGCAGCGCCCCGACCTCTGACTTCTGTCGCGTCCAGCTCCCGTGCTACGCGGTCGGGGCCACGTCACGGGCGATCGGGTCTTCTGGGGCTGTCCCGCCTGCCGCTGATGTCCCGGCTTGTCCTGCTCCTACTTCTCGAGTGGCTGTTTCGGCTGCGCCCCGAGAACCATGACTCGTTGGGGCCCCCGACTCGTAGTGACGCTACCCATCACTGGGCGACGTACTCGCACTCGACGGCCATCCTCCAGCGTACCTGATTCTCCTTTGGTAGACCGCACCGCGCCTACTACGGCAGTTCCACCTGCTGATTCGCCGATAGCTCCGCCACCATCACTGTCAGTGGTGGAGCCTACTGACCACCCAGCGGTTCCAGAGCACTGGCTACTACGTTTTGACGGGGCTTGTCGTCGGAACCCTGGTGCTGGTGGCGCTGGTGCGGTGGTAACAGACGCGTCTGGTACTGTGGTTTGGACGTGCTACCACTTCCTGCCTGCCCGCGGTGAAACCAACAACACCGCGGAGTACTCTGCTCTATTGATAGGGCTGCAGGGGGCACTGTTCCACGGTACCAAGAGGCTAAAGATTGAAGGAGACAGCAACTTGGTGCTCGCCCAGGTGCGGGGCTCATTTACTTGCTCCAACCGGCGGCTCCGGCGGTTGCGAGGTCGGGTTCGCTGCGAGTTGGGCCGCCTGGATTGGTACCAGCTCAGTCACATCGACCGGCAAGCTAACGCTCACGCTGACAGACTGGCTAACCGTGCCCTTGACCTCCGCCGTACCGCGTTGGAGTGTGGGCCCCACTCTGATGACCTCTCCGCTTGTTTCACGCCTGTTTCCTCTCCGCCTTCCAGCCCATCCCCGGCTGGGCCAGTCACAGATGGTCCTCCCGATGCGGATACTGATGGCTCTGTGGATGACGAGGCCATGGACGTAGAAGCCGAGATCGCTGCTCGCGATGGGGGTGAAGTTTTCCCGACTATTCTCATTGGTCCGGGTTCTACTCCAGCGCGACAACCTCGGCTCCGTCTCCGTCACTTGAGCGAGGAGGAGCAGGATATTGCTGCTGCTGCGGTACAGCACTTTGCGGATGTCATGGCGAGCAAGATTACGGATGCGGACAGTTGGATATCTGGTGAGGGATACATCTTGGCCATCCCAGACCGGCTTCGCGAAGTGCTGCTGCCATTCTCGGTGTCACCAATGGGTACTTCAAGCTCGAGAGACAACTGTCCTCGCCAACGCCCACCTCGCGTGACGCGTACGCAGCGCGAACATCGGTTGGATGAGGCCCTTGATGACATGCAAGCGACGCAACAGGCGGTACCGAGTGACCGTCGCGCGGTCCGGAAGTCTCGCCGCCGCGTGGGTAGAATACGAGCGTCTATGGCTCAACTCGAGTTGCGTCGCCGCTTTGCGCAAGACGAAGCCAAGTGTGTTTCCTCTATCCTCGATGGTGCCTCTGCCGAATCTGCGGGTGTCGAGCACCCCGATACATGTCCTATTGGACGGGAGGAGCTTCACCAGCACTTCGTCGGCACGAGTTCCGCTCCTACCGCTTTTGATTACGATGCTGACTGCGGACAGGAATTTCGGGATGTTCTTAATGGGTTCCCACGGACGCTTCTGGGTGATGATTGCTTTTCCGAGGCTTTTTCGATGGACGAAGTGGAGGACCAGCTGTTGAGGGTAACTAAAACGTCCAGCCCCGGGCACGATGGGGTTGGCTATGATGTTTACAACCAGTTTGCCCCGCAGTTGGTACCCCTTCTGCATGCCGCTTACCGATTCTGCTGGCTACATCGGATGGTACCTCGACTCTGGAAGGTGGGCATGGTCCGCTTGGTTCACAAGAAAGGCGACCCGCTGCAACCTACGAACTGGAGGCCAATTTGCTTACAGCCCGCTATATACAAACTCTACAGCGGGTTGCTGGCCAGGCGGCTGTCTTGCTGGTTGGAACTTAACCACCGGTTGCCCATGGCGCAAAAGGGGTTTCGAGAGTTTAACGGATGCCATGAGCACAATTTCCTGGCTACTACGATGCTCGATCAGACCCGCCGCTCGCGCCGCAAGCTCTACCAAGTCTGGTATGACCTCCGAAACGCCTTCGGTTCGCTTCCGCAGCCCCTCATGTGGCAGGTGCTCCGCCGGATTGGTGTTGAGCCCCGGTTCATTAACCGATGCCAAGATATCTATGAGGGGTCTGCTTTCGTGGTTATGAATGCGAAGGACGGGGCGACCGACCCGGTGCGACAGGAAGTGGGTGTCTACCAAGGCTGCCCCTTGAGCCCCCTTCTTTTTATTGCTGCTCTCATCCCACTGGTCCGCCGTTTGGAACTACTGGAGGATGTCGGTGTGCCGCTGGCGGAGGGTGTCCGCCCGTGCACCACCGCTTATGCCGACGACATCAAGGTTTTCAGTGACAGTGCCGATGGAATCCGCCGCTGCCATGCCGTTGTCCGGAGGTTTCTCCAGTGGACGGGGCTGCGCGCTAACCCTGCCAAGTGTGCGAGCCTTGCGGTGACCATTAATGCTCGTGGTAACCCGACACTTGACGACAGTGTTCGGCTGGGGATTCATGGCGATGTCATTTCCCCGCTCACCCTTAATGAGAGCTATCGCTATTTGGGGGGTGGGCGATGGTTTTGACCATGTTCAGCACCGCCTCCAGCTCGAGCCAAAGCTCCAGCAGATAAAGCGAGAGGCTGTGGCACTGATGAAGTCTGGCTTAGCGGTGTGGCAAGTGGTGAAAGCGCTTAAGACTTACGTATATCCGAAGGTGGACTACGCGCTTCGCCACTTGCGCCCGCTTCGCTCTCAGCTCGAAGGATTCGACTGTGCCGTGAAGCGTGGACTGCGACATATGCTGCGCCTGCCCCAGTCTTCGACCACTGAGTTCTTCTACGCGCCCACTTCTGGTGGTGGACTGGGCCTGCAGTCTCTAGTGGAGATGCACCAATCTCTGCAGGTGGCGCACGCATGGCAGATGTTGCACTCCAAGGATCCAGCTCTAGTGGCGGTGGCGAAGGCTCAGGTCCTACAGGTCGTGCACAAACGATACCGCCTATTGAACGACCACTGGACGGGTCGAGACGACGAACTCGTACGTTTGTTTTTGAACTCCGAGCTCGCGTCGTCTCCTCACGCCACCATCCATCGCAGATCGGGGGACATCGCTTCGGTTTGGGTGGATGTGCAGCGGGTGCTGTGCATCCACCGTATTACCTTTACTGATCGCGCCGACGAGTCTGGTCAGGACGCGTTTGCGATTCGCGTGCCGCACCACACCCAATGGCTTGACCACAAGTCTGTCTTGCGGCACGTGAAGTTGCACATGAAAATTCGACACCAGACTCGGTGGCAGAGTCTGGTGGACCAAGGCCGGACGACTCGGGTTCACGGTGGACCCGGGTCTAAGTTTGTGCTATCGGGAGCGGGCCTGTCTGATGCTGAACATCGGTTCGGCATACAGGCTCGTCTAAACCAAGTGGACACGAACTCGGTTCTGAAGCGACGCCGTATGCGGCCAAATGCTCATTGTCGACAGTCGGCCTGCTCGAGTGCGGAAACACTGGAGCACGTTTTGAATCACTGTGCATCCAATATGGATTTAATCCGCCAGCGTCATGACACTGCACTCGAGCGAATTGGTGTGGAGATCAGGAAAGCGCTTCAACGGACCAAGTCGCAAGCAGAGTTACGACTCAATCAGACGGTTCCTGAGTACACCGGTGCGGCTCTGCGTCCGGATATGGTGCTGAGGGACGTAAATGCCAAGACCATGGTGATCGCTGACTTGGCAGTCACCTTCGAGACCCATGGTGCTGGATCTCGCCTTTCCTCGCTGCAGTCCAGCTATGACTTCAAGATGCTCAAGTACAAGCCTATCGCCGATGAACTCCGGCTGAAGGGGTGGAGAGTGGAGTCCGCTGCGATTGTCTATGGATCTCTAGGCTCGGTGCTCCCGCGTAACCTCAAGACATACACGGACACGCTCCACCTGCTCAAGCGCGATGCTAGGACTCTGGAATTTCGCCTTTCCAGTCATTGTGTCCGCTCCAGTCGCCGGATCTGGAGCTGGCACTGCCAACTACACAGGGATCGACAACGGAGAGGGGCGGCTACAAGAGAGTCGCGCAGGTCCGGGGGGAACCTGCAGGCTCCTCAGCCGCCAGAGGCGCGGTGATAAGCTGGTCTTTATGACCGACAGGGCACTATCCAGGTAGGACACCGCCCTTTAAACCCAGGTACTATCTTAGGCCCTCCGACTCGTGACATACTTACAACACAATCCTTTTGTCCTGGAGCGGTAAATAATTGGTAATACACATAAACCTTCTTTTCTACTTGACTTTCCTAGTAGACAACCTCCTTACCTTTGATGATCGTATTCGACTTCATGCATTGACTCGGGATGTCGGTGGTAGTGCTGTGCTCTCTTTGAGACTGGCCTCCTCCGTTGATGAACGTCCGCTGTCGTTATTCCAAGACAGCGTGAGTGTGTGAAGTGATATGAGAAGTTGTGGAGCTCCTTGTACTACGTTTGGTCTCTGCTTAATATTTCGTCCCACATTAATTGAACTCTGCTCGTAATTAAATCCCTATACTGGATTCGATCCCCACACTCAATTCGATCACCATACTCGATTCGATCTCTGTACTCGATTTGATCTCTGTACTTAATTTGACCCATATAATCAATTTGATCCATTCATGTACTTTTGTTGACCCCTGTACATGCTCGGTTCCCATACGATAGCTGAGCACTAGCCTTATCCATGATGTACCAAACAGAACAGTGCGGCACTACATTAACATACCAATACGACACACGATGGCACGCCTCTGTTCCTTTTCGATCGAACGTTTCAAAACGACATCATATCCCTGTATACGGACCTTCTTTGCAGCAAGAAACAGTTCACGACGACACGATCATGTATATTTATACACAATTACAGGCGGAAGCTGATGTTCACAGCACATAAGCATCCCATACATACATGTAATCTATATCGGAATAATAGCGAAAAGATGAGCTGCTACATCATTTTTCAGAGAAACAAACGACTCGAAGGCGTAAGATTCCCGATAATACGGAATGGTGATGAAAGAAGCAGAACATCATTTCTTGTTCGTGCGTAACGCATATTTCGATTGACCTTGTACGAAGGCGGCAATGCAATTTCTGATTGAAGTCAAAAAGGGCAGGTTGTAATCGGATACGAAAGTACAGATGAAGCATCCGTCTATGCTGGGTATCGTAGAGACGGTATCGTGCGCCAAGAAGTAGGTCGAAATCATCCATACGATAAACTTCAGGAGCGTACGTTGAGGTCATGCTGCGAAGAATTAGCGAAGAAATGGGGCCAAAAGGAAAGAGTATAGAACGACTCCGACAACCATAGACGCGTGCGTTTTTGCTCCAAACAAGTTTACATAGGGTTCTTGTAGCATCATCGTTGCAAGGCGGCTGACTACTTGGTATCTTGTTTCCTGTTCTTTTCATCATCTGGTGGACGTTGATACTAAAGTGATGGCAAATTCTCTATCATCGGAATGTGGGGGGAGTGGTGCTGCAGCTATGGTGACGGCGGTACTGAGGAAGGCGATGAAATCTCGAGATAAACAGTGTGACCTTTCAAGGTGATTCTAATGAAGCGTTGATTTGAAAGCTGATTCATTTTGCGTGGTTATCGCTAGTTGGTGTGAGCGCACGTTTAGGCGATCAAAAGTCGATTACATCACGAAAGTCTTTGATGTTGCGGATTAATGCTACATTTAACAGTATGTAGATCTGTACCACGAAACGTTACTTTTACAAAACGGGTTTCGGACTCGTATCGACTTGCTGGATGTGTTGGTGACTACAAGTCATGACAGTGGTGCTATGCTGACATAAGCAAACACATGGAAAATGAATCTTAAGAGTTGTGAGGTTGAGCATTTGTCGCTGTTTGACTCTGTTCTGATTCAACACGAATGTGCTACATGTTGAATATGGGCTCAGTTCGGTTACCGTGCCTACAAGCGCACACAAAGCTCATCTCTGCACGCAGCATTGGTGGAGTGTCTGACGACGTTTCGGATCGTTTTTGTTCTGGCGAAAAGAAATCAGAAGTGACTACATTGGCGCCATGGTGTATGGACTCAGCAGGGTTTGTCGTACGTGAGGTTCATAGAAGAAAGTAGGCTTGACGGCGAATCCATCGAGCAAAGTAAGACCGTACTTTTACAGGATCATTTCTATAGTACCTTCTTTTCTACTTGACTTTCCTAGTAGACAACCTCCTTAACTTTTCGTCCGGCTCGACGCCAACGCGTGGATGCGCCTCTGGTTGCCCGACTGGGAACTCCGGGAGCGCTCGCCGTCGACCGAAAGCGAGGCCTCCACGGCCAGCTACTCAAGCCTCGCCAGCGACGCGTCCTTGTATGACGCGTCGTCGGGAGATGAGGCCGGGCTGGCCGAAACGGGTGGCCACGACACCGCCACGCGCCGGTCGGCTCCTCCGCTCGCGTTCGCGTCGCCCCCCGCGCGCCACTTCTCTCCACTGCCGTCTTCGTCCCCGCTCTTCTCCTCGGCTCAGGATGCGATTGTTTGGATACCCGGCAGGGCGGGCGTTACGCTGCCTGACCGGGTATCACCAGAAGCCGCTCAAGGACGTCAGGGCGCCTGGCTTTCGCCACCGGCCGCACGGGCCACGCCGGCGCCTATCCGGCTTGTAGACGACGTCCAAGACCTTCGTCCGTTTGCTGTGCCACCCGGCAGGGCGTGCCGCATGCTGCCTGTCGAGGTGGCGCCTGGACTCGTGCCCGACTCTCAGAGCGTTGGCTCCCCGGGCGCTCAGACGCCTTGCCCAGGTCCGAGTGACTTCCACACGCCGCGTCAAGACCCCGGACTGTCTTCTCCGTGCGCCGATGGCCCCCCGATCGAAGATGCGAATGATTTGGTACCCGGCAGGGCGGGCGGCATGCTGCCCGACCGGGTACCACCAGAAGACAATGAAGACCACAACGCCGACTCTCAGAGCGACCACTCCCTGGGTGCTGACAGGCTACACCCGGGTCCAGCCGACACTGCACCGACCTCCGCTGCCCTCCCGCCTGCCCCACCAGCCCCTGCCAAGGCTCCCGACGAAGACTTGCTTGCTTCCCAACCCGGCAGGGCGGCAGGCATGCTTTCCGCGGGGTACGCGCTTGTAGCCGCTACGGCTCGCGCCCTGGGCGTCACGCACGACACCAGCGACCCTGCGGACAGCAGCAGCAGCAGCGATGGGGAGGGCTCGAGTAACGAGGCAATTGCTTTCACTGTTGACGAAGACTGTCCAAGTGATGACGACCGGCTTTGTCTGGCGGCTACGGAGCTGCCCGGCCAAGCTGGATACACTGCAGTGGCCGCGGCTACACCCATGCCAGCGTCCACTGCAGCATCTGTCTCTGTCCCACTATTACAGCTCTGTGACAACCGACTCGGCGGTCCGGCATGCATGCAGCCCGACCGAGTCGGGTTTGATGAACCCACGTCCCTTGTGGACACTGCCCTGTCCAGTGCCGCTGTCCTGGACATGGTCAAAGACGACTGCCAGCGCGCCGTCACCCACGACGTACCGGGTCCACTCCACGAACATGTCCAGCCCGAAACAGGGCGACCGGACCCGGTACTATCAGTGTACGCCCATAACGCGCCCGCATTCCCTTGCACGCTGTTTGGGCACACTGCATGTGACATGAGCGCGCTGTCGAGTCACAGACGGACCTCCCACCGTGGCACCTGCTTCGTGGACCACTTCCACAGCGGGTGCCCGTGTGGCATCGGGCACAGGACTCGTGCAGCTGCTACGAAGCATGCTATGGAGTGTCGGGACAGCCCGTCCTACATCCCTTCGGCTGCACGTGCTCCCCCGGGTCCGTCTCCGGTCCACTTTCGTTCTCGTTCTCGTTCCGTGTGGTCTGTTCCGGAGGACGAGGTGACCCCCGAACATACCGGGTCCCTCGTCCTGTCTCCTTCCGTGGGTACAGCAGTTGCATCAAGCAGCACTGTGCCCACAGATGCGACCACATCCCAGAGCACCGTGCCTGCTCCCGTGGACCAAGCCGGGCACCTGCATGTCCCCCCCGTGCGGTGCCCTTCGCCACCGCAGCCGCATGTTCGGGTGGCGGGGAAGCGGCGCCGTTTAAACGAAGCTGCTGACCCGCCTGCTTCTCCTGACTGGGACATGGACCAAGGAACCTCTGTGCTTGGAACCCCTGCTTGGCCCCCAGTTGAGGCAAACGAGGACCTGACTTTGGATCATGTGCTGGATGATGACATTTCCGAATTTCTTGTGGATATTTGTGGTTCTACTCTGGATGCAGCTGACCCTTCGCTCACGGAGGATGCTGCTGTCTCCGGTCGACTCGGGACGGGTGAGGCACCAACATCAGCCCCGGCAGCGCCCCGACCTCTGACTTCTGTCGCGTCCAGCTCCCGTGCTACGCGGTGGGGGCCACGTCACGGCGCGATCGGGTCTTCTGGGGCTGTCCCGCCTGCCGCTGATGTCCCGGCTTGTCCTGCTCCTATTTCTCGGGTGGCTGTTTCGGCTGCGCCCCGACGAACCATGACTCGTTGGGGCCCCCGACTCGTAGTGACGCTACCCATCACTGGGCGACGTACTCGCACTCGACGGCCATCCTCCAGCGTACCTGATTCTCCTTTGGTAGACCGCACCGCGCCTACTACGGCAGTTCCACCTGCTGATTCGCCGATAGCTCCGCCACCATCACTGTCAGTGGTGGAGCCTACTGACCACCCAGCGGTTCCAGAGCACTGGCTACTACGTTTTGACGGGGCTTGTCGTCGGAACCCTGGTGCTGGTGGCGCTGGTGCGGTGGTAACAGACGCGTCTGGTACTGTGGTTTGGACGTGCTCCCACTTCCTGCCTGCCCGCGGTGAAACCAACAACACCGCGGAGTACTCTGCTCTATTGATAGGGCTGCAGGGGGCACTGTTCCACGGTGCCAAGAGGCTAAAGATTGAAGGAGACAGCAACTTGGTGCTCGCCCAGGTGCGGGGCTCATTTACTTGCTCCAACCGGCGGCTCCGGCGGTTGCGAGGTCGGGTTCGCTGCGAGTTGGGCCGCCTGGATTGGTACCAGCTCAGTCACATCGACCGGCAAGCTAACGCTCACGCTGACAGACTGGCTAACCGTGCCCTTGACCTCCGCCGTACCGCGTTGGAGTGTGGGCCCCACTCTGATGACCTCTCCGCTTGTTTCACGCCTGTTTCCTCTCCGCCTTCCAGCCCATCCCCGGCTGGGCCAGTCACAGATGGTCCTCCCGATGCGGATACTGATGGCTGTGTGGATGACGAGGCCATGGACGTAGAAGCCGAGATCGCTGCTCGCGATGGGGGTGAAGTTTTCCCGACTATTCTCATTGGTCCGGGTTCTACTCCAGCGCGACAACCTCGGCTCCGTCTCCGTCACTTGAGCGAGGAGGAGCAGGATATTGCTGCTGCTGCGGTACAGCACTTTGCGGATGTCATGGCGAGCAAGATTACGGATTCGGACAGTTGGATATCTGGTGAGGGATACATCTCGGCCATCCCGGACCGGCTTCGCGAAGTGCTGCTGCCATTCTCGGTGTCACCAATGGGTACTTCAAGCTCGAGAGACAACTGTCCTCGCCAACGCCCACCTCGCGTGACGCGTACGCAGCGCGAACATCGGTTGGATGAGGCCCTTGATGACATGCAAGCGACGCAACAGGCGGTACCGAGTGACCGTCGCGCGGTCCGGAAGTCTCGCCGCCGCGTGGGTAGAATACGAGCGTCTATGGCTCAACTCGAGTTGCGTCGCCGCTTTGCGCAAGACGAAGCCAAGTGTGTTTCCTCTATCCTCGATGGTGCCTCTGCCGAATCTGCGGGTGTCGAGCACCCCGATACATGTCCTATTGGACGGGAGGAGCTTCACCAGCACTTCGTCGGCACGAGTTCCGCTCCTACCGCTTTTGATTACGATGCTGACTGCGGACAGGAATTCCGGGATGTTCTGAATGGGTTCCCACGGACGCTTCTGGGTGATGATTGCTTTTCCGAGGCTTTTTCGATGGACGAAGTGGAGGACCAGCTGTTGAGGGTAACTAAAACGTCCAGCCCCGGGCACGATGGGGTTGGCTATGATGTTTACAGCCAGTTTGCCCCGCAGTTGGTACCCCTTCTGCATACCGCTTACCGATTCTGCTGGCTACATCGGATGATACCTCGACTCTGGAAGGTGGGCATGGTCCGCTTGGTTCACAAGAAAGGCGACCCGCTGCAACCTACGAACTGGAGGCCAATTTGCTTACAGCCCGCTATATACAAACTCTACAGCGGGTTGCTGGCCAGGCGGCTGTCGTGCTGGTTGGAACTTAACCACCGGTTGCCCATGGCGCAAAAGGGGTTTCGAGAGTTTAACGGATGCCATGAGCACAATTTCCTGGCTACTACGATGCTCGATCAGACCCGCCGCTCGCGCCGCAAGCTCTACCAAGTCTGGTATGACCTCCGAAACGCCTTCGGTTCGCTTCCGCAGCCCCTCATGTGGCAGGTGCTCCGCCGGATTGGTGTTGAGCCCCGGTTCATTAACCGATGCCAAGATATCTATGATGGGTCTGCTTTCGTGGTTATGAATGCGAAGGACGGGGCGACCGACCCGGTGCGACAGGAAGTGGGTGTCTACCAAGGCTGCCCCTTGAGCCCCCTTCTTTTTATTGCTGCTCTCATCCCACTGGTCCGCCGTTTGGAACTACTGGAGGATGTCGGTGTGCCGCTGGCGGAGGGTGTCCGCCCGTGCACCACCGCTTATGCCGACGACATCAAGGTTTTCAGTGACAGTGCCGATGGAATCCGCCGCTGCCATGACGCTGTCCGGAGGTTTCTCCAGTGGACGGGGCTGCGCGCTAACCCTGCCAAGTGTGCGAGCCTTGCGGTGACCATTAATGCTCGTGGTAACCCGACACTTGACGACAGTGTTCGGCTGGGGATTCATGGCGATGTCATTTCCCCGCTCACCCTTAATGAGAGCTATCGCTATTTGGGGGTGGGCGATGGTTTTGACCATGTTCAGCACCGCCTCCAGCTCGAGCCAAAGCTCCAGCAGATAAAGCGAGAGGCTGTGGCACTGATGAAGTCTGGCTTAGCGGTGTGGCAAGTGGTGAAAGCGCTTAAGACTTACGTATATCCGAAGGTGGACTACGCGCTTCGCCACTTGCGCCCGCTTCGCTCTCAGCTCGAAGGATTCGACTGTGCCGTGAAGCGTGGACTGCGACATATGCTGCGCCTGCCCCAGTCTTCGACCACTGAGTTCTTCTACGCGCCCACTTCTGGTGGTGGACTGGGCCTGCAGTCTCTAGTGGAGATGCACCAATCTCTGCAGGTGGCGCACGCATGGCAGATGTTGCACTCCAAGGATCCAGCTCTAGTGGCGGTGGCGAAGGCTCAGGTCCTACAGGTCGTGCACAAACGATACCGCCTATTGAACGACCACTGGACGGGTCGAGACGACGAACTCGTACGTTTGTTTTTGAACTCCAAGCTCGCGTCGTCTCCCCACGCCACCATCCATCGCAGATCGGGGGACATCGCTTCGGTTTGGGTGGATGTGCAGCGGGTGCTGTGCATCCACCGTATTACCTTTACTGATCGCGCCGACGAGTCTGGTCAGGACGCGTTTGCGATTCGCGTGCCGCACCACACCCAATGGCTTGACCACAAGTCTGTCTTGCGGCACGTGAAGTTGCACATGAAAATTCGACACCAGACTCGGTGGCAGAGTCTGGTGGACCAAGGCCGGACGGCTCGGGTTCACGGTGGACCCGGGTCTAAGTTTGTGCTATCGGGAGCGGGCCTGTCTGATGCTGAACATTGGTTCGGCATCCAGGCTCGTCTAAACCAAGTGGACACGAACTCGGTTCTGAAGCGACGCCGTATGCGGCCAAATGCTCATTGTCGACAGTCGGCCTGCTCGAGTGCGGAAACACTGGCGCACGTTTTGAATCACTGTGCATCCAATATGGATTTAATCCGCCAGCGTCATGACACTGCACTCGAGCGAATTGGTGTGGAGATCAGGAAAGCGCTTCAACGGACCAAGTCGCAAGCAGAGTTACGACTCAATCAGACGGTTCCTGAGTACACCGGTGCGGCTCTGCGTCCGGATATGGTGCTGAGGGACGTAAATGCCAAGACCATGGTGATCGCTGACTTGGCAGTCACCTTCGAGACCCATGGTGCTGGATCTCGCCTTTCCTCGCTGCAGTCCAGCTATGACTTCAAGATGCTCAAGTACAAGCCTATCGCCGATGAACTCCGGCTGAAGGGGTGGAGAGTGGAGTCCGCTGCGATTGTCTATGGATCTCTAGGCTCGGTGCTCCCGCGTAACCTCAAGACATACACGGACACGCTCCACCTGCTCAAGCGCGATGCTAGGACTCTGGAATTTCGCCTTTCCAGTCATTGTGTCCGCTCCAGTCGCCGGATCTGGAGCTGGCACTGCCAACTACACAGGGATCGACAACGGAGAGGGGCGGCTACAAGAGAGTCGCGCAGGTCCGGGGGGAACCTGCAGGCTCCTCAGCCGCCAGAGGCGCGGTGATAAGCTGGTCTTTATGACCGACAGGGCACTATCCAGGTAGGACACCGCCCTTTAAACCCAGGTACTATCTTAGGCCCTCCGACTCGTGACATACTTACAACACAATCCTTTTGTCCTGGAGCGGTAAATAACTGGTAATACACATAAACCTTCTTTTCTACTTGACTTTCCTAGTAGACAACCTCCTTAACCTTGATGATCGTATTCGACTTCATGCATTGACTCGAGGTGTCGGTGGTAGTGCTGTGCTCTCTTTGAGACTGGCCTCCTCCGTTGATGAACGTCCGCTGTCGTTATTCCAAGACAGCGTGAGTGTGTGAAGTGATATGAGAAGTTGTGGAGCTCCTTATGCTACGTTTGGTCTCTGCTTAATATTTCGTCCCACATTAATTGAACTCTGCTCGTAATTAAATCCCTATACTGGATTCGATCCCCACACTCAAATCGATCCCCATACTCGATTCGATCTCTGTACTCGATTTGATCTCTGTACTTAATTTGACCCATGTAGATCAATTTGATCCATTCATGTACTTTTGTTGACCCCTGTACATGCTCGGTTCCCATACGATAGCTGAGCACTAGCCTTATCCATGATGTACCGAACAGAACAGTGCGGCACTACATTAACATACCAATACGACACACGATGGCACGCCTCTGTTCCTTTTCGATCGAACGTTTCAAAACGACATCATATCCCTGTATACGGACCTTCTTTGCAGCAAGAAACAGTTCACGACGACACGATCATGTATATTCATACACAATTACAGGCGGAAGTTGATGTTCACAGAGCATACTCATCCCATACATACCTGTAATCGATATCGGAGGAATAGCGAAAGATGAGCTGCTACATCATTTTTCAGAGAAACAAGCGACACGAAGGCGTAAGATACCCGAGCATACGGAATGGTGATGAAAGAAGCAGAACATCATTTCTTGTACGTGTGTAACGCATATTTCGATTGACCTTGTACGAAGGTGGCAATGCAATTTCTGATTGAAGTCAAAAAGGGCAGGTTGTAATCGGATGCAAAAGTACAGATGAAGCATCCGTTTATGCTGGGTATCGTAGAGACGGTATCGTGCGCCAAGAAGTAGGTCGAAATCATCCATACGATAAACTTCAGGAGCGTACGTTGAGGTCATGCTGCGAAGAATTAGCGAAGAAATGGGGCCAAAAGGAAAGAGTATAGAACGACTCCGACAGCCATATACGCATGCGTTTTTGCTCCAAACAAGTTTACATAGGGTTCTTGTAGCATCATCGTTGCAAGGCGGCTGACTACTTGGTATCGTGTTTCCTGCTCTTTTCATCATCTGGTGGACGTTAATACTAAAGTGATGGCAAATTCTCTATCATCGGAATGTGGGGGAAGTGGTGCTGCAGCTATGGTGACGGCGGCACTGAGGAAGGCGATGAAATCTCGAGATAAACAGTGTGACCTTTTGAGGTGATTACAATGAAGCGTTGATTTGAAAGCTGATTCATTTTGCGTGGTTATCGCTAGTTGGTGTGAGCACACGTTTAGGCGAGCAAAAGTCGATTGCATAACGAAAGTCTTTGATGTTGCGAATCAATACTACATTTAACAGGATGTAGATCTGAATCACGAAACGTTACTTTTCCAAAACGGGTTTCGGACTCGTATCGACTTGCTGGATGTGTTGGTGACTACAAGTCATGACAGTGGTGCTATGCTGGCATAAGCAAACACATGGAAAATGAATCTTAAGAGTTGTGAGGTTGAGCATTTGTCGCCGTTTGACCCTGTTCTGATTCAACACGAATGTGCTGATGTTGAATATGGGCTCAGTTCGGTGACCGTGCCTACAAGCGCACACAAAGCTCATCTCTGCACGCAGCATTGGTGGAGTGTCTGACGACGTTTCGGATCGTTTTTGTTCTGGCGAAAAGAAATCAGAAGTGACTACATTGGCGCCATGGTGAATGGACTCAGCAGGGTTTGTCGTACGTGAGGTTCATAGAAGAAAGTAGGCTTGACGGCGAATCCATCGAGCAAAGTAAGACCGTACTTTTACAGGATCATTTCTATAGTACCTTCTTTTCTACTTGACTTTCCTAGTAGACAACCTCAATAACTTTGATGATCGTAGTCGACTTCATTCATTGACTCGGGATGTTGGTGGTAGTGCTGTGCTCTCTCTTGAACTTGGCCTTCCCCATTGATGAACGTCCGCTGTCGCTATTCCAAGGCAGCGTGAGTGAGTGGAGTGATATGAGAAGTTGTGGAGCTCCTTATGCTACGTTTGGTCTCTGCTTAATATTTCGTCCCACATTAATTGAACTCTGCTCGTAATTAAATCCCTATACTGGATTCGATCCCCACACTCAAATCGATCCCCATACTCGATTCGATCTCTGTACTCGATTTGATCTCTGTACTTAATTTGACCCATATAATCAATTTGATCCATTCATGTACTTTTGTTGACCCCTGTACATGCTCGGTTCCCATACGATAGCTGAGCACTAGCCTTATCCATGATGTACCAAACAGAACAGTGCGGCACTACATTAACATACCAATACGACACACGATGGCACGCCTCTGTTCCTTTTCGATCGAACGTTTCAAAACGACATCATATCCCTGTATACGGACCTTCTTTGCAGCAAGAAACAGTTCACGACGACACGATCATGTATATTCATACACAATTACAGGCGGAAGTTGATGTTCACAGAGCATACTCATCCCATACATACCTGTAATCGATATCGGAGGAATAGCGAAAGATGAGCTGCTACATCATTTTTCAGAGAAACAAACGACACGAAGGCGTAAGATACCCGAGCATACGGAATGGTGATGAAAGAAGCAGAACATCATTTCTTGTTCGTGTGTAACGCATATTTCGATTGACCTTGTACGAAGGTGGCAATGCAATTTCTGATTGAAGTCAAAAAGGGCAGGTTGTAATCGGATGCAAAAGTACAGATGAAGCATCCGTTTATGCTGGGTATCGTAGAGACGGTATCGTGCGCCAAGAAGTAGGTCGAAATCATCCATACGATAAACTTCAGGAGCGTACGTTGAGGTCATGCTGCGAAGAATTAGCGAAGAAATGGGGCCAAAAGGAAAGAGCATGGAATGATTCCGACAGCCATATACGCATGCGTTTTTGCTCCAAACAAGTTTACATAGGGTTCTTGTAGCATCATCGTTGCAAGGCGGCTGACTACTTGGTATCGTGTTTCCTGTTCTTTTCATCATCTGGTGGACGTTAATACTAAAGTGATGGCAAATTCTCTATCATCGGAATGTGGGGGAAGTGGTGCTGAAGCTATGGTGACGGCGGCACTGAGGAAGGCGATGAAATCTCGAGATAAACAGTGTGACCTTTTGAGGTGATTACAATGAAGCGTTGATTTGAAAGCTGATTCATTTTGCGTGGTTATCGCTAGTTGGTGTGAGCACACGTTTAGGCGAGCAAAAGTCGATTACATAACGAAAGTCTTTGATGTTGCGAATCAATACTACATTTAACAGGATGTAGATCTGAATCACGAAACGTTACTTTTCCAAAACGGGTTTCGGACTCGTATCGACTTGCTGGATGTGTTGGTGACTACAAGTCATGACAGTGGTGCTATGCTGGCATAAGCAAACACATGGAAAATGAATCTTAAGAGTTGTGAGGTTGAGCATTTGTCGCCGTTTGACCCTGTTCTGATTCAACACGAATGTGCTGATGTTGAATATGGGCTCAGTTCGGTGACCGTGCCTACAAGCGCACACAAAGCTCATCTCTGCACGCAGCATTGGTGGAGTGTCTGACGACGTTTCGGATCGTTTTTGTTCTGGCGAAAAGAAATCAGAAGTGACTACATTGGCGCCATGGTGAATGGACTCAGCAGGGTTTGTCGTACGTGAGGTTCATAGAAGAAAGTAGGCTTGACGGCGAATCCATCGAGCAAAGTAAGACCGTACTTTTACAGGATCATTTCTATAGTACCTTCTTTTCTACTTGACTTTCCTAGTAGACAACCTCAATAACTTTGATGATCGTAGTCGACTTCATTCATTGACTCGGGATGTTGGTGGTAGTGCTGTGCTCTCTCTTGAACTTGGCCTTCCCCATTGATGAACGTCCGCTGTCGCTATTCCAAGGCAGCGTGAGTGAGTGGAGTGATATGAGAAGTTGTGGAGCTCCTTATGCTACGTTTGGTCTCTGCTTAATATTTCGTCCCACATTAATTGAACTCTGCTCGTAATTAAATCCCTATACTGGATTCGATCCCCACACTCAAATCGATCCCCATACTCGATTCGATCTCTGTACTCGATTTGATCTCTGTACTTAATTTGACCCATGTAGATCAATTTGATCCATTCATGTACTTTTGTTGACCCCTGTACATGCTCGGTTCCCATACGATAGCTGAGCACTAGCCTTATCCATGATGTACCGAACAGAACAGTGCGGCACTACATTAACATACCAATACGACACACGATGGCACGCCTCTGTTCCTTTTCGATCGAACGTTTCAAAACGACATCATATCCCTGTATACGGACCTTCTTTGCAGCAAGAAACAGTTCACGACGACACGATCATGTATATTCATACACAATTACAGGCGGAAGTTGATGTTCACAGAGCATACTCATCCCATACATACCTGTAATCGATATTGGAGGAATAGCGAAAGATGAGCTGCTACATCATTTTTCAGAGAAACAAACGACACGAAGGCGTAAGATACCCGAACATAGGGAATGGTGATGAAAGAAGCAGAACATCATTTCTTGTACGTGTGTAACGCATATTTCGATTGACCTTGTACGAAGGTGGCAATGCAATTTCTGATTGAAGTCAAAAAGGGCAGGTTGCAATCGGATGCAAAAGTACAGATGAAGCATCCGTTTATGCTGGGTATCGTAGAGACGGTATCGTGCGCCAAGAAGTAGGTCGAAATCATCCATACGATAAAATTCTGGAGCGTACATTGAGGTCATTCTGTG